TCTAGACTATTTGACTTGCTGATGCACTCACTCTCAAGATTAAAGCTCTTGTTATTCCTCTTAGACCTCTGGGTTGATGATGAGACCACTTACATTTGTGAAGCTCAGAACCAGTTTGGGAAGATTCAGGCACAGGCCACAGTGACTGTCACAGGACTTGGTAAGAACACACAAGGAGAGAGCTTCTCTGCAAGTGCCAAATGGGTTATCTTTCAGTTTCACACTCTGCAAAGGCTAAAATATCCCTCTGTTAGGCTTAAAAATGAAACATGTTATATTATCGACCATTGTTCCTTAACAGACCATTACGCAGTGTCTAGTATGACTGTCTGCTAACAAAAACACCCAATTTATGCAACACATGTTGTGACCTGGAGCATTCAGACTAAATACAGGGGTTCCGAATCATAACCGTTCCTAAATTAATTCTGCTGAAGAAAGTCTGCTACGAAAATCTCCAAGGGAGTCATTTCTTAATTTATAGCCAGTTAAACATTCCTCTTTCCTTGTTATGTCTTTATGGCTGTTTGGCAATCAAACTGGAGTTTAGCACACCTCAATAAGCCAATAACATTTGTGACTTTTGACTATATTGTATTTAATACTGAACAGTTTACAGTCATTGAATTTGCTAAATCTGATCTAGAGTTAAATATATGTTTTCTTCATTCAATGAAGTACTGTATTGCACCTCAGTTTGACCATGGAAATGTAATAGACTGCACGTTATAAAGAAAAAGTTACTAGTTTTCTTACTTCATGACCAAAACCTGTATAAAGGAAGCTCTCACACAAAAGAAATAGATTTTGAAATCACTGTATTTCATGTTTTGTTAAATGTAAGATGTACAGTAGTGCACTGAGCAAAGAAAACATGCAAAACTTGTTATACTGTAGACTGAACTGAAGTTACAGTCCATATTGTCTTTTTTGTCATATGTGGACTTTTTTTACTTTAAAAAAGGAAATGTTTGCGTAGAATCCTTTGTTTGCAGGGAGCTGTACAGAGAGCTTGTCAGTTTTGAATTACCTATAATATGCACTGAATGTACTTAAAATATGGGAATCGTGATGTTGGAATAGACGCAGTAATGAATTTTCCTGGCAGCTTTTGAAGGGTTGGAGAAGTCAGATGTGCAAAATAATGCAAAGAGTGCCATGCTAAAGCTGCAGAAAGAAGTGAATTATCTTCTGGTCCAGATGTGCAAAATGTTTTAAGCTGATATTTCTTTGTTTCAAAGAATTTAGGCTTGATATCAGGTGTATCAAATAATCCAATGGTATGTGTACAGCATTATATATTGTGATGATCAAAGAGCATTATGTGGATATAACATTCACATTTTGTATTTTTGAGAGGTCCTGTCTGACTATCTGCCTCTTTCTTCATACTTAAAAGTACCAATGCTAAGAAATTGTCACGTTTGTAGAATTCTTATATTCTTTGCATTCCAGGTTGATGTGTGTTTCACAGCCTCATTAACTGTTTAACAGGCCACTTGGATGTAGAGTGTAGCATATAGGGTAAAGGTTACTTGCAGAAGACCTTGCTATAAATTGGCATGGTTCCATACGTCTCAGAGACACAGAGACTGTTGACTGAGACCCCGGTGATTTAAGGTTTAATCCAGACCTGGGAAAATCACTTTTTTAAGTTTCAACCAGAGACGTGTTGTGAGCAACAATTGTGTACACTGTACAGCTTATGGATCTTGTAGCTGTTTGTAGACAGGTTGTGTGTTTTGTTAAATCATTTCTGTTTTGATCACAACACTTTTTCTAAAGGGACATATAAATATGGGCAACATGTTTCTATTAGGTAAATAAGGAGTACATCCTTTGTTTTTTTTTAAGATTCATGTTAAAAGGAACGGACTTATTTAAAGCCAGAATTATATTTATGGCTGCATTTCCATGCAATGTACTTCAAAAAGTGTACAACTTGCATTATAGTTCTTTTTAGGTTATGCTCCACTTAGAGAAACTGTGATTAATTAAAATTTTTTAAAGGCTTGAGCCTAGAGCTGTATCTGTTTAACTTACTAAGACAATCATACTAGCTCTTGAAAACATTCCTACAATAACTGGGCAAACTTATTGCACTGTTATTAATCCAAGCCTGCATGCACAACCAATAGTCTTTGCATAGGAAGAAAAACATCATTGTTCATACATCTGCCAGGCACAAAGAGTGATGAATTAGCAGTCCAGTATACAAACCCAGTTTGAACTCTATGAATGAATTCCACATCCATCAATTAATGACTGTATAGGTAATTCATTACATTTAAATGGCCAGAAACCTATAAATGAATACCTTTGCACGTCAGTGTACAGAATTACCCTATTTCTAGTGAAACATAAATACAACAGTGTTTATAGCAACCAGGCATCACAAAACTTAAGGGGATGTTCCTAGCTGGATCTTATCTTTGTGACAGGATGTGGAAACCATATGGAGCCCCCAAGCAAAGAGGGAGTGTCATAAGACATAAAATGCAGGGCTGGAAAACATTCTCCGGGGGGTGATTGGTAGCCAGGCTGAGAGGGAAGGAGAGAGTCCTAGGGAATGCAAAGACAAGCAATATCAATTCCAACTCGAGCGGTCAGGGAGCCCTGGATGGGAAAGGAGGGAGGGGAGTAGAATTTTTCATAACGGGCACAACTTTCTGGTGGCTCCCCCTACTCAACTCGCACACATGTCAAGTAAATTATCTATTGCAAATTAACATCTTGCTAGTCCACAGGAGGATAAGCAGCATTTTATTCTCTAAATGGAAAAAAAACCTAACCCTTTACTGTATTTTCCCCTCAATGCAGTGCGAAACTGTAAAACTGAACATTTCCATTTAAGAATTCGTCTGACTGTACATTGAAATCTAAGGGGACCCTGATGATACTGTTTTGTGGAGGAAATTGTATCATGGAAAATTGGCATAAATGTCCTAAAGTAACTAAAATGTTTTTTCTTCCAATGTCTTGTGGAGAAAAGAAGTACACTGTAAACTGCTAGCTCGATGGATGTGTAATGTTTAAGATTTCCAGTATGTTGCAAGAGGTAAATAAGTGACTGTTAATTCATGTTTTGTAAAATGTTGTGATAAAATATATACACCTGGACGAGGGCCGTTTGAATTATTGACAGTTTTACTTTGTATTGATGTCTTTAGTTCTGTGTAGCCTTGTCCAGGGTGTCTATGAACTGTAAAGTCTTAATGTGCTGTTGTGCTGTTTTTGCAGTGACTCCCGTGATTGGAATCAGTCCTGGAGTAGTTAATGTCATTGAGGGCCAACAGGTCACTCTGCCCTGTGTTCTGCTGGCAGGGAACCCTCTGCCTGAGAGACGCTGGCTCAGGAACAGTGGCGTGGTAGGAACTGAGGAAATTCTGTAACACAAAACCAAGAAGGACTGTGGAATTGTCTTCTTCCACTAGAGTGAAGGGTGAAAATGCTCGTGTCTGTGCAAACTGATGTGTAATTGTGACTATATGACTGTTGGACATACAGTATATCCCTGTGACTTCAGAGTGCCCTCGCAAAGTCTAAAATCTGTCTTGTGGACCCAAATCAAGAAAGGCTAGTCACTCAATCAGAAAAGACACAGGAACATTAGAAAGGTTACAGAAGAAAGCAATCCAAATCATCCATAATTTTGTTTGCTTGTCACTAATTGATATAAGATATATTATAAATAGGATATAATCTAGCTGTTTCTTAAAAGAATCCAGGGTTTCAACGACTTAGTTGGGCAGCTTGTTCCAGTCCCCCACAACCCTTTGTCAAAAAGTGCCTCCTCCTATCAATTCTAAATGTGTTTTCCCACAGTTTTCACTGGTGTCCTCTGCTTCTTGTTTCGCTGTTGATTCTGTTTACCCTCGGGCAAACCTTACCACTGCCTTTGAAGAGTCATAGTACTCATAGTCACTCTGCTCAAAACTAAAATGATTCTGTTCTTTTAAGCTGTCAGTGAGGGACATTCATTTAGGCCTAGGAATGTCTCTGGTTGCTCTTCTCTGGACTGTTTCCAGGGCAGGAATTTCTTTCTTTAGTTTGGTTATGGAAATTGTACACAATGTTCCAAATGATGTCTTGCAAGGGCAGTGTACCTTTTTTCAACTTTACTTCCCTTTTAATGATTAACTTTTAACGGTATATCTCAACATTTATTTTACCTTCATTATTGCTTGTCCACATTGTATAAAAGATGTAAATGATGAGTTTGTAGACAGGTAAACACCTATCTTTTTGGAAGTAACCTCATCAAGCTCGGTATTTACCTTTTTGTGCTACCTGCTACCTGTAATCTTCTACACTTCAAATAGGTACAGTAGCTGCATCAGTATGCATAGGCTGCAGAGGAACAAGTAAAGGTTCAATCCATGCTGGAAAGAGAAGAAAAGAAACACAATGTTTTGGCTGTGGAGCCTTCTTCAGGTGTGGAATAAACCTTTACTTGTTCCTTTGCATCTTCTATACTTGTTTACATTTACCGGGTATTTGCTCAGTCTTGAATTTTTAAACATTTTCTTGGTGGCTTCTACAAGGTAGTAGTCATCTGCACACCTGACAAGTTTACTATCGCTATCTAAATAATTTATATAAATTCAAAATAATTTATATAAATTCAAAAGAATAGTGGTCCTAGAATAGAACTGAAGTAACACAGACATGTTAATTAAATCATCCCAGGTTGAGCACTAACCCCTTAACACACATAGTACTTTTAATCTGACAAACCTTATATCAAAGGGACACCAAGATTGTAAATTGTTAGGACCAAATATTTAAGACAGAAAAGCTTTTCAGGAAACATAAACCTAGAATCCAGAGAGCAATGCCAAAATGGCCGCATTTCAGTTGTGTGTCTTTTTCTGTCTACATCTGCAATGCTGTTTTTTCCTTCTTCCTAAAACATACTGTAGGAAAAGCATTTAGTGCAATGATTGCATTGACTCATTCCGTAAAGAAATGTCCCTGAATTTAAAAATGAAAGCTTTAGACATTAGAACAACCGCATCTCATTTCTTTGTTTGCAAAAGTGGCTAATCTCTGGTCCATTTTAAAACGATGGTCGCCTCAGTTTTCTTTGAATTGTCCCCCCTTTTCTTCCCCAGCTCAATCCGACACCTTATATTACAATCCGCCGAGATGGAAGTCTTCATATTGAACATGTTCGCCTGCAGGATGGGGGAGAATATACCTGCATAGCCAGAAATGTGGCTGGCACCAGCAACCACACCACCACTGTCAACATCTTTGGTACGCCTGATTAGCTCCTAAGTGTCACTGTTTCTTCCACTTCCATGAACAGGGGAGAATATACCAGTCTGCCATTGACAATGTGTCTGATTTATTGGGGTTTAACACTGCCATTCTATAAACCATGAGTGAGCCTCCTTCTGCTTTGCTTATCTCGTGTGTCTGTGCCTTCGACTTGGGTAATTTTACTTTTGTTTGTCCAAGCCTTCCAGTTTCCTTTTATTTTTCTACCACTCATCAGCAGGATGTTCCTACAGTACATAACAGTGCTGTTCTGGAGGCTTTTGAGACTATCCAAGCTCATTACGAACTGAATCATTGCACAAAAGCAAGCAAAACACGGTTGTGGACATCTTGCATAATTCTCATATTTGTGTGCATAGTATAAATCCAATTATGGCATCCATAATCAGTAATAAGGTTGCTGAAGCAACAAAATTGCATTTGTGTGTGAAAAATGATTCTTAAAACAGCAGAGTAAGAACTTTAATTGCATTTTACTTCTAAGGGAAATTGGCAATTCTTCTCCCAGTTTCCACCTCTGATGTTTTCTGCAGATCGCTCTGTACTTATTAGTAAAACAGAAATAGTGACTGACAGTGAGGGGGGAAAAAAGGTTGAAGAGATGAGGGAATATCTCGCAGTGTAGTTCCATGTGCTCTCTCATTTGTTTAAGAGCGACATTTAAACATTCTGAATGGGTGTTTAGATTGACAGGGTAACGTTTTCACATGAAACCACTTTGCCCTGGCTAATGTGAATTGCAGCAGATTAATGTAACATTTCCTTGTTTTGGAAAATCTTTAGACTTTTACCACACACAGACCTGATGCAAAGATAAATAGAATCTTGAAACTGTTCTGCAGATACCTCCTAATGACATTTCCTCCTTACAGAGATGTAAGTAGTCGGATCCTTGTGGATCTAGCTTACATGGCTTTCTTTCCAGGAGAGCCAATATTCCAGAGTGGATAAAGCCTGAGAAAATGATCAAAAAAGATGAACAAAAATATTGAATGGATGTTTTGGAAAGCTTTTCTCCAGTGCAAAGTTTGTTAAACTTTTTCAGTCTTCATGAAGAAACTAGGTGAAGGTGCAAGTTTAATTGGAAAACATTCACTTGTACAACTGCATTGTACTGTATATCTGCTGATTTGTCTGCAATATCTTTGGGGACAGTTTTGTGTTTTGATGAAAATCAATCCTTGGATATCAGGGGTGCAGTTTGGCATCATGTCACTAGCCTATTGTCTGTATTTCTAGTTATCCCAACCATTCAGCATGGACCGCAGGTATTCAGCACCATTGAAGGAGTCCAGATAACACTCCCATGCAGAGCAAGTGGAGTGCCAAGGCCCGACATTACCTGGTCAAAGGTAAATTTAAATTATGTGATTATTATATTTAAAACATTTTCTCTTTTGAAGTCTTTTTTCATCCTTCATCACATAACAAATATAAATCTAAAGGTATATATCAAATAAATTTGTATGAAATATTTTAAATTTTATTATCTAGATCCAGATGTTCCCATGACAAAATGTCTCTCATGTCTGCAGGAATAAAAGGGAGAGTACTGTAGTTTCTGATGAGGAGGTATTTGTATTAGTATTGGTGATACTTCCTCTGAATGTAAGGATAAATGCACAGACAGACAATCTTCTGGATGAAGTATGTGTTAAACCTTAGATCAAACACAGACCAGGTCATCAGGGACTTCATTCAAGCCAAAGTGATATGTCATGGAGCAAAGCCCTCACAGTTAATAAAACACAAAAGGCATAAAAGCTCTTGGACATGATGTTGAACTTCTTTCACTGAGTTTTTCAGAAAGGTTATAATTACCTGGCCATGCCCGGTAATACAGTTACTAATATACAGAAATGAATGACTAGTTAAGGTCTTCTTTTATAGAAAACAAAATATTAGTTAAATACATACCTTTTAGGATTGGAATACTTGGATGACATTTTCATACACTTGTATGATTAATGGCCCTGGGCCTTCTGGTGTAACTGATAGTATTAGGAGTTATGAAATAATATCTATTGAATGGGAAATTTGGCCATTCAATTCAAAAAAAGTTTTGCATTACATTCTAAGACAATGCCTTAGTTTGACCTATTTTGGGAAGACTCCGAATATTCTTTTTTTTAGTAGTGCTCCATGTAAAACTCATTTCCAGACTTTTACTTTCCCACATTTAGGCACATACTGTATGTCAAAGCGCACAGTTATTGTTCCACTGTGACACCAGTGTCTTATGCAGCTTTATCTAATTTTCATCTCCTAAAGTGCATCCTGTTTGAACAATGGTAGAAGACAGGTTCAGTAATAAAGAGAACACACTGCAGTAAATCCACTTGGAGCAGTAAGAATGTTTTTTTCTACTTAAGCATGCAGGTTTGTTTCTGCGGCTGGTACAAATTTGCACTATTAAGCTCAATGAGACATTTGAGGCAAATGAAACTCTAGACTTTTAAGTTCAGCACCAGCTGTTGAATTGGTATGGTTCTGTTGCCTTCCTTTTTCAGTATAAAAGCCTCATTCCATATGAAATCCTGCGTTGAAAGTTACGATGTATCTCACTCTGCACTGGAGAAGCAAACCAGCATTAGGAACACAAAGAATTAACTGGCTTCCCAGAAAACTCAAATAAACCCTATTTTCGTTTGTTGTTTAAATCATCTGGATCTTTTTAATACCATCTTAACATAAAATGATGAATATTTTTGCTGTTTATTTAACTTGCAGTTTTACATCCGTTATGCTTTTATCAAGCTGCTAACTTCAAGTTAAATAAGATATATGTCTTTGGAGCAAGAAAACGTGTTAGTATGAGTGACAAAACTTATTTAAAAAAGAACAATTGCGTTTGTTGAAAGTTGTTTGCGTGAATGTGATTTTATAACATCTAAAAATCTGTGTCACTTTTTAGTTACTCAGTCGTTTTAGCAATGTCAATAAATGCCCCTATGTTCAGAGAACAGCAGCTTGCTTCTATATAGTAAATGTTGAATGTAAACCACATTGACCTCTATCAATCTGACAGTATAACTCTGAGATATGGAAGAGCAAGTAACACAAGTGTTTTTCACATCTCACTGGTGCAGTTTTTAATTTGAAACTAATGCTTTTTTCACTCGGCTGCTTAGTTTACTTGTAACATAACATGTGGGAAGCTAATTTGAGGATGAGGAGTCAGCCAGAGTTAAGAGAACTCAGTAATGTATGGGAACAAGAAGAAAGTCCAGAAATGACCAAACTGATAATCTTTCATATACAGTACATGAACCAAGTTGTAGATTTGAAGCCTTCATAGAATAGATCCAAGAAACAAACGTGAAAGAAAATGTACATACAGTATGTTACTTCTTTACTTTAGACAATGCTGTTATTTATCAGCATGTTGGTATAAACAGTAGAATATTAAGGGTCATCCACTTCTGAACCATAGTATGTTTTATTAACTTCTTTAGCAGTAACCATAGGGTGGGACTCCCATTCAAGAATTTCCCATTTTCAAATAATACAACTACATCAAGTCTAAGAAAATATCGCCTGATATTACTAAAAAAATTGTCTTGCTTAGAAAACACATCTTATTTTGATTAGTTAAAACTGTTTAAGTATTCCAAAACAAACCAAGCAATGGATTGTGTTCAGTATGAGACATATTAAGAGACATATTATCTAGTCTTGGGATTTTGGCATACTAATACTGTAAAGCACTGACACAATACTGCTGTGTACTATGTGTAATACTATAACTGTGCTCTTAATTTTCTCTTGATGTTGTCAGTTATATTGCCATACACCACACTACTTAATCCAGGGAAAATAACCTCCAAAGCACATCTGGATACTCACCACTGAGAAGTTTTTTGCTGAGCAGTAAAACGTCTTGGGTGGAACTCAGTGCTTCAGATGGAAGAAGCTGCTGTTTATCCAAAGTAGAAGCAGCCACAGAAGCAGGATACATGAGAACATAATGAAACAGAGGAGAACCGACAATGCTTTAAAGTACTGTTTCAGCCTCTCTCCTGTACTAATGACTGTTTCTGTTCTGTTTTGAAGAGGGGGGCACTGATCGACCTCAGTGGCAGTGCCTTTTCTCTGGCCCCGGATGGCAGTCTGCACATTGCCTCGCCCACAGGGGAAGAGTCGGGCGAATTTGTGTGCACAGCGACTAACGCTGCAGGCTACAGTTCCAGAAAAGTACAGCTCACTGTGTATGGTAAGGGAATATTTCCTACCAGTGTCCTACAGATGGACACGCCACCTCACACAAAAAGCAGTCATTTCGGTCCAACTTGGCTTAATCAGCACCTGTGCTCATTCAGAGCACTTGCTTGAACCATTAAGTCCAGATGTGGGTAGTTTGAATCTGGTCATTAGCTGACTGTGATTGAGGTTCTCTAAGCTGTAGTGCCCAATTGACAGCCTGCCTGAAAAGTCCCTGTGAGTTGGCAGTTTGATCATTGAGAGCTGCATCCCTCCTCCAATCAGTGCTAACTGTGATGAGGGCACCTACAGTACTGGGGGGTGGGTAGGGGTAAAAGCAAGAGAAAATGCATTTAAAGCAGCAGAAAGTGACTCCTTCCTTTCTCTTGTGCTGATAGAAAGATCACAGCAAGAGGTCAAGAATCTTGACAATGGGTTTTTAAAAGGGAGAGTTTAAACACGATTAATAATTATTTTCCCTAAAGTATTCTGAAGGGCGGCCTGCTATTAATGTTCTTTTAACGTGTTCTTGAAAACTTTTTTCCATGCCGATCTTTTTAATGTGTAAGGCTTGCCATGTCTGTTTATCCAGTGAAGCCCAGGGTGTCTGTCCCTGGTGGGAGGCGGGAAGGTGAGGCTGAGGGAGATGGATTACTGGAGATTTCAGTGACAGCAGGAGAAGGTGTGATTCTACCGTGTGAGGTCCAGAGTGTCCCTCCACCCATAATCACCTGGGCAAAGGACCGACAGCTCATCTCCCCTTTCTCCCCTAGGCAAGTTCATATTTTAACAAAATACCATTTCTTGCATGTTGCTATTAAGACATAAATGGAAAGTTATACTTTTTGTCTAAATCTTCATGGCTTATATGGTATTAACTCAGCAGATTGAAGATACTCATCAGAATGCCATAAGCACTACTCTGTACTGCAGTGAAAGTATCATGCATTGCAGCTTTATTGTACAACTCTTGCCATATCATGCACAAGGGTTTTCATTGTACTGCAGAAAAATTAACCATTGTGTGAAACCAAACATTTTTTCTCACTGTCCTTGGCTCCAGGTATTTTCCAGTTTGTCTCTAAAAAGTACTGATATTGGATTTATTCATCAGATTGTGTCCATATGTTTGGGAGGGATGTTAAACTGACATCAGAATTCATACAGCTTTCCAGGATTTATTTTAGCTGCCAGTGAAATAAGCAGTAGTTGCTGTTCATTTGGCAGATATGCAAGCGAATAGGTGTGGCTGAGACTAGCATTGTCTGGAGGCTTGAGACATTGATGTAATAGGTAATTGCTAAACCTTTCAAACTTGCAGTAAACTTACTGTGCAGTACAATGTGCTGAGGATGATCAGTCGGCCAACAGAGGCATTGTGCCATACAGTAATTTGTCAGAACACTATCCATTGTATGGTGTTTTATGATGTTGGGTGTTGTAGAATAGTCTTCAGCATTTCACAGGGCACGCATGCTCATAGCAGAAGTTAATTTCTCTCAGTTGAAACTTGTAAAACCCATTTGGGAAAAACTCATATGGTTGCATTTTTAGAAATGTGTAGTTCAACTTGTAAACCTTACATTTTACTTTTGGTTAAAGATATGTTTGTTGCTTGCCAGGAAGCAGAAAACAACTGCTCTAACTCAAATGGTCAAAAGTAAAACATTATCCTTTCAAGTACTGTTCCTTCTCGAATTCGAAATTAATTGTAATTCAAGATAAATGCTATGTAAGTCTTGTGCGTTTGCTTTAACTTACAGGCACACCCAGCTGAGCTCTGGGTCCATGAAGATTATTGAGACCCGGGTGTCGGACACTGGGATGTATCTGTGTGTCGCTACAAACATAGCGGGCAACGTCACTCAGGCAGTGAAACTCAGTGTCAACGGTGAGGATGATCATTTCTGCAATTTTTGATTTTTCTAACTTTTTTAATTTAATTCCTAATAAAAACTAATACATGTTATTCCTTGAAGTATATTTCCCATTCAAATGAGTGAAAGGTTGCGTTATTTCTTTGAAGAAAGTTTGAACCCTAACCCTAACCTGCCCAAATCCTTAGATAAAGTTAGGGTGAGGATTCCTACAAAACGTAGAGGATGTTTGATGGTATGGCAGATATGAAATTTAGGAAATGTGATATTTCAGTGTTCACATTTTTTTTTCTTACATAAATGGCATTGCCCTAAAAGGGAATGATGTCTTTAATTCCCCCAAAAGCAAAGGCAAATGTATCAACAATGGTAAAATTCTGTTTTTTGATAAGTATTCTGTTATTGGACATTTCATGTTGAATAGTGTTCTCAATGAGCATGGTTTAAGGCTTAACCAGGGTAAAAGGCAGGGTAAAACCCAATAAAGTTTGGCTGTATGTGTTAATATGCCAGTGCATTCAATGTCAAATGCAAAAATGTGAAAAGTATAATCACTTCCTTTCAAACATTTGCTCTTAGGGCAATTTAGACAACATTCCCTTTTAGGGCAAGGTAGTGTATAGAGCCATAAACTGTATGTGAAGATAACATTGAAATATCACCTTTCCTAAATTTCATATCAGCACTAAAACACAGCCGTGACATCAGAAATTGTGTATGATTTGTAGGAATCCTAACCCTAACCCTAGCTAAGGGTTTGGGTAGGTTAGGGTTCAGACTTTCTTCAAAGAATTAATGCAACCTTCCTCTCATTTGAGTGGAACATATACTTCACTGCATTAAATTATTAGTCTGAAATTGGTCTCCTCCATTTTGGTTCCAGTATGGGACATTTCTCCCTTGGATTTGCTACAAGACAAATGGCTCAGAAGTGGGAAGGTCGAAGGATTCTGATCCAAGACTTCACTCTCAACTGTGTAGGGTCTTGAGCCAAGGTTTGATAAAGCACGCAAATTGCTATTCCAAATTCCAAACGAAAAATAATTGGAAAATATTGAGTTCAATTATTCTTAAAAGTGTTTCGGAAGGTCCATTCATTTCCAACACAATGTCTATGCAGATACTCTGCGGGACTGGATTATCTTCATAGTTCTTTTAGCCAGCAAACTGCAAATAATAAAAAGCAACAGCTACAGTATGCCCCCTGGTCTGCCAAAACAAAAAGTGGATTACCACATCAAATTAAGTTAAAATCGCTTCGTCAGATCTTTTATTTCATTCTGGGTTTAGTGTTTAAGAGTTTCCATTTGATTTCAATAAGATACTGCACAGTGTATTACTTTTAGTTAACCATTATAAACCTATAAAATTATTTTCTTTTATGCTAATACAGAGTGGGAAAGAAAGGCAAGTATGAGCTAATCTCATTCACTTGGGTGGCCTCATGTGGAAGATTGCTGTGTGTGATGGCAGCAGATCAGGAAGGAAGGAATGGACCATGTTCTCTAATTTTAGAATCAAGCCTGCATATATTATTTCAGATTTTAGCCCTTAGCCCTTAACTGAAGCATTAAGACTGACCTACTTTTAAATGGCTTTAGGAAAACCTAAGGTAGAGTAGAATCTCTTGGTCCCAGCTTTTCGCCGATCTTTAGAACTCATTTTTCAGTAGGACTTTTTCTCTCACCTTAGTCACTTGTTGAACTTCACTTGCCTGAGTGCTTTTCTGTCTCGGCGAAAGGTAATGTTTAAACTGGATCTTTTTTCTGGTTTCTGTTATAATTAGACTGCTACTTAATTTGTGATATTGCATAAAGCTTCTTTTACTGCAGTTTCTAAGAGTTCACTGGGGCTGCACTACAGAACACAGAACTGAATGTCTGTGGATGTCACAGAATCTCAGAACGTGATCTTTAGACACTGACATCAAATCACTTTCAAATTCTAGGATTCCTGATTTCACTCCCTTCTGAAGCATTAAAGTTCACATGTACTGTATCTCATACTACTACTGTACATATGAACTGTTTACTGGGCTATTTTCGTGCTAGATCACTGATATCCAGTATCCTTTGTACCATCTTATAACATCTAACATTAACCTGTTGTTTAATTTGCAACACTGAGAATTCAGGAATGTGGCTTATTTTCAATTCAATGAGGTCTTCTTGAGGTCAAAACATTGAACCAGTATATTTGGGTTTTAAGGAATTCATACCTGGAAAACCTTCTCATATGTCTTCTGTAGTCTTCTGCAATAGGATCATTTTTAAATGATTTCTGTATGAGTGTTTATTTATCACAAAGGTCTTTGTGTTATGCAGAATATTGCTACCATATTTTATCACTTATAAATAAAGAAATAATAGATATTTCTTTCTAACAATGCTTTTTGAATTTTAACTAGTTGTGATAGCATTTGGTGAGACCATTGGTGAAAACCTAACTACTGTACAGTATGTGAATGGGAGAAAAGAAACACTGCAAATGTTACCTGTTAATGTCTTTTCAGCTTGTGTCACTGGACTCTAAACGGGCTTCCAAACTGTATCTGCTCATAAAACTCAAACTGAATTTTTCCTGTTATAGCAGTTTGACTCAATTAGTTCAATATGGAAAATCTAACCATACATGTTCCAGAAGTACAGTGGTAATTTCCTGGATAGCTATTCCTAAAACATAAAACTATTAGGGGGGAAGGATGTTTTAATTCAGGTTTCAACAGTTTTTAAGTTTGCTTGAGTGTATTTTGAGGATACCAGCAAATAATTTAGCCTTTTTGCAAAACTGTACAAATATTTGAAAAAATTGCAGTTGGTATCATGCAATAAGAAAGGTGAACGACCAGTAGATTAAATTTCAAAAGTCTCCGTTTTACTGATTTCTTTACAAGACTTTACAATAGCATTTATGCTTTTTTCAAAAGTGGAATCTGAATAGTCACTGCATCTGGTACAACACTTCAACAGCGTTGCTCAGAACATTTATGAGCACCTATAAATATGAATTTAAAAAAAGCCAACAGGGAAAACATTTTACCTTTCTAAAGTAAAGGAATAATAATAAACATATACTTGGTTCTCTTTTATTTTTGTTTGAAAGACCTGGATGGAAGTGAAATTCTTTTCGGAACCAAACATCAGCAATGCCAAGTCCTTCTTAGCCTTGCTTTCTTCACACGATGATTGACGGAGTTAATGCTGCTGTTCCATAGCTCCAGGGTCCTAGTTGTGATTCTTGCTTTGGCCTCCTGTCCGTGTGGAGTTTGCTTGTTGTCTCCATTTTCTTGTGAGGTGTTGTAAGGTGCTCGAGTTTCCTCCCGGCTCCTGGAGACAGGCATCTTAAGTTTTATGAGCTACAGTAGCTACGTTAAATGGTTCCTTTCGGGCACGGTTTTCTTCCTAGTTTGCGTACAAGGATATAACATTTACAAATGTGAAAAAGCCTTGTTGCTTATTTTTGGAATTGCCTATATTCAAGTCTGGAGATTCCCAATTCCTCAGCTGCTCTTCAGCCAACAAGTCCACATTTGTGTTCTTAACTTATTTTATTCAGTACAATGTATACACATTGTACAGCTGTGCATTTTACTGAAGCAATCTGAGTGCAGTACTTTGCTCATGGGTAAAACAGAGGCCCCCCCACCCAGGATGTGAACCCTCAATATGTTAGATAGAAGTGCAGAGCCCTAGTTGCTTTTTTCAAATCGTCAACGTTCTCGGCCACAGACAGCTGCTTCACCCTTCGCCCCGGCCTTAAGACTTGATCAGCATGGCGTAGCTACGTATGTAACATTATTGTCATGTGACTACAATTGAAACAAATAAGCATAAAGGGCCAGAGGGGCCTCCTCTCACTTACAGTCAGTCTGATGCTGGCAAAGGGAAAGTGGTTTGAAAACTAATTGGTTGCTTTTTTTCCTTTTGAATAATCCAGTGCCTCCACGTATCCAGGCTGGTCCACGGGTCATGAAAGTACAAGTGGGCCACACAATTGACATCCCATGCATTGCCCAAGGGTTGCCCAAACCTCTGATCAGATGGCTTAAGGATGGCAATGCCCTGCAGCTAGAAGGGACCCAGTACAGCAGCTCTCCAGAGGGGACTCTCACAATCAGTGGGGTCAGCCTGGTAAACGATGGGATCTACACCTGTGTTGCCAGCAGTGTGGCCGGACAGGATGAAGCAGAAATCCAACTAGAGGTCCAAGGTTGGCAACTCACGTGCTTCACACTTAACTCCTTGGTCATTTTTAACGCTACAAAAAAACAAACAGATTGGGGTTCTTCTCTTTAAAAATTTAAAGTATTCTTACCAGAAACATTCAGTTGCACAAAAATGGGCGAAATTAATATTAATAAGCTTTAAGAAATCTCCCTGTAACTTGTTTTTGGATTCTTACAGTCCAATATCCAATATCAAACCAATATCTAGAAGATAACTTAGAACAAGGAAGACCTTTGGATTTCTATAGAACATCTCCCGTTCAAGATGTAGTTCAATCAATGATATGATCAATCATAGTTAGATTTCTGCCATGCATTTAGTCTCAAATGACCGCAAAATAACTGATATATAACTGATATATAGGAGGAACGTCCATTGTCCATAAATTATAAGAAGTGTTGCCACATGAACGTTTCCTTGTGATAAATTCAAGGTCATTATGAGTCTGGTAAAAGCAGGCTACCTAATGTGGATTGTATGACTGTTTTCCTCCTTTAGTTCCACCAGTTGTTGAAGATCTAGAACCTCCATACAACACTCCTTTCCAGGAGAGGGTGGCCAACCAGCGCATTGCCTTCCCCTGCCCTGCTAAAGGTAAGATCTGGACAACGTTATTCCAGATTTCCTTTCTGTTTAATCACATTAATTCTACATTACACCCATTCGCTGTTAAAGAAGAGAAACAATATTAAATGAAACATCCTGCAGAACCTGGAACACATCTCACAGGGAGTATGGTGTACAAGAGGTTTTAATCACAGTGACCCAGTTTCTTTTGCTAATTTATGCATTGTCATTTTCTCATGTTTTCAGAGTTGCTTTAAAGGGCAATTTGTAATTGTTCAGGTCCTTTGTGGAATGCATGCCATTTTCTTTCTAAAATGTGTATAGTCTGAACAGGGTTAAACCGGAATAAACCCATTCAAGCCTCTGAGATATTTAAATGTTTTTTTCCCGCTGATTGACATTTCTGCTGGTGATATCAGGTACTCCAAAACCTGTTATCAAGTGGCTTCGGAATGGACATGAGCTGAGGGGCACTGAGCCAGGTGTGTCCATTCTGGAGGATGGGACTCTCCTTATCCTGGCCTCTTTATCCCCACTGGACAACGGGGAGTACACCTGTGTGGCTGTTAATGATGCTGGCACCACCGAGAGAAAGTACCAGCTGAAAGTGCATGGTGAGCTCACTTCCTATCAAAGCAAATTATCAAATGGAACAAAAAAGTGTTATGGTATTTATTGTAAAAGGTAATTTATGGACTGTCCAATGTTTCATGTGTTTAAAAAAAAAGGTCTTTTGTAACAAATTTGTCACCTCCTTGTGCCTTTGATCAGGACTTGATCCAGTATTTTAACATAGTCCGTGACTGAATCTGGAACTGTAAGGAAATTAAATTTGGAGACTGCAGTTCAGAGTTTGTTCCATTTGTCTGTGTAGTCCCTCCAGATGTCCGCGACAATGACAAGCCTGCCAATGTGTCAGTTCTGGCAAACCAGCCCATGACCTTGTTCTGTGATGTATCAGGAACACCCACTCCAGTCATCACCTGGTTCAAGGATGGAGATCCTGTGCGTGTGGAGTTTGTGATGAGTAGAAAGTTCTTACTTCTATGAACTGAAATGCTATAATATCTTTCCGTAGCACCTTAGATTTCGTGAATCTGATCTCTCACAGCATTCACTATGAACCAATCTAAAAAATGCATCAAAAGTCTTTTCACTGCCCAGTACATTACAAGCCAAAAAGATTGCATGGGATCTCACAGTGTATGATGTATCTCCTGTTATGGTGACATCTACAAACTGAGTTATTAACAGCATTCAAATGCCCAGTGTGGAGACAAGTTTAGTATAAGGGTTTGATGGCTGGGCAGCACAGTGGCGCAGTGGATAATATTGCTGGCTTACAGCACTGAGGCCCCTGGCTTAATTCCAGACCTGGAGTGCTAACTGCATGGAGTTTTTTATGCTCTCCCCATGTTCGCATGAGTTTCCATTGAGTGCTCTGGTTTCCTTCCACAGTCCAGAGGTATGCTGGTAATTTAATTGGCTTCTGGGAAAATTGGCCCTAGTGTGAGTGTGTACGTCTGTGTTTGTGTTTGTCTTCCCTGCGGTGGAATGGTGTCCTGACCATAGTGTGCCTTGTCCCCATCACCTGCCACGTTAGGCTCCAGCTTCATTGCGACCCCAAATTGGATGAGGTGGTTAGAAAATCGATGGATGGTTTGATGTTTGCTTGGGCTCTTGCGAGCTCCGAGTTGGACCTTTCTCTCAGATTGTTCTATACTTTTCTGCTTATTGGGATTTTCTTTTTCTTTGCCTGCATGACTGTGTTTTCCTGAGACTGACTGCTGGTTTCTGCTGCAGGTTGTGCCCAGCAGTTCCATTCAGATTCTCCAGGAGGGGAAAACACTACGGCTTCTGAAAGCAGCCACTACAGACGCTGGGAGATACAGCTGCAAAGCCGTCAATATTGCCGGCAGCACAGAGAAAGACTTTAACCTGGATGTTCTTGGTGAGTCCTCTGTGGAAAGGACAAGTCTCAAGCTTAGACTTACTTTAGGCGTTACATTTTGTAATTAGTCATTACAAAAGTAACAGAAAATACACTCCATTTGAAAAAGCAGAGTAATTTGGATTACCACATTACGAAATTATTATTTTGAAGAAGGCTCCACAGCCAAAACGTTGTCTTTTCAGCCCAGAATAAACCTTTACTTGTTTTTAATTTTGATTATTTTTTAAAATTAATGTAGAATCCCCAATTACTTTGTGTACACAACTGTCCAGTTTGGAGTTGTGCTTTTACCATGTTTTGGTGCACGGCTGTGAACTCTACAACTTCACGTGGAGGAAACTGCAGCAGGCAGACTTCTCGGACCTGCTCACCTTTCATGTTCAGGTTCAGTACTGACTGGAGGAGATGCATGTCTCTCACCAACAGCACCAGAAGCCTGCAGTTGGCTGCAGGGTCATTGGGGAAGACTAGGGAGTCCTGGACAACCCTTTCTTCAGTGGTACTTAGCCAGTCATGTACAGGCACTCTGGTCACATGGCCCAGAATCAAACCTGTCACACCCGAATCAGAGCTTAACCTGCGCCCCAGTGAGGGAGTTTACCAAATGAGCCATTCTGGAGCCACTGATCTGAAATATTGAATGTTTCTCCTGCTGTTTATTGTTTTTTGTGATGCTCTGTATTGAGAATGGACTATTTTCTTCCCAGTTCCTCCCAGTATAACTGGTGCCAGCTCTCCCCGTGACATCTCGGTAATACTCAACCATGAGATCAGTCTGGAGTGCAAAGTCAAGGGAGTGCCTTTCCCCACCATTCAGTGGTACAAGGAAAACAAGTGAGTGCTGTGTCCTGCATATAGCCAAATTCAGTGCATATGCATCTTTTTTACAAGGCTTTTCCAGAATAAAAGAAGGCTTCAGCAGATATCCGGCAGTTCCAATGATTTGGTTTCAGATGTAAATCTAGATTGAGCTAAGGTGGTTCACTTAATATCAAACTTAAATTTTGTTTCAAATATCTTTTAGGGAGTGGGTGGCTCAAGGAGGATTAAAAAAAATATATAGATATATACATTTTTAGCACTATCTTCTTAATGGTTATGAGCTCTGTCACTGTGAGTTTAGTGGTCTGCTGTTAGCAGTGAGCTAAGAATTTTAAAACATTAACTTTGTCTCCAGACCACTGTTCTTGGGTGACCCCAACATTGAGGTTGTGAACAGAGGCCAGGTTCTGAAGATCAGAAGTGCACGTCTGGGTGACCAGGCCCGCTACCAATGCAGTGCGGTCAATACTGCCGGCAAACAGACCAAGGACTTCAATCTGAATGTGTATGGTAAGTAAAGTTTTCACCTGGAAGTTCAGTATTTACGTCCTTCAGCCGTTTCTGATTCTCCTTTGTCGTGCATTCGTTTCCCTAGTTCCCCCAAGCATTAAAGGAGGAAACGTCACCACCGAAATGTCGGCTCTCCTCAATTCCTCCGTCACTCTGGAGTGTGAGGCCCGTGGGGTCCCCCTGCCGGCAATCACTTGGTACAAAAACGGGCGTCCCCTCACTTCCAGCCGTAGGGCTGCCTATGTGGACAGGGGCCAGTTTCTGAAGATCTCCCAGGTGCAGGTGTCGGATGCCGGTCAATACACCTGCCATGTCACTAGCATTGCTGGGAGCGCGAAGAAATCATACGAGCTGGACATTTACGGTGAGTCTCTAATCCATTCTTCAGCTCTGAACCTGAAATTGCTCTTTATGTTTAAAAATTCGACAAGCTGCTCAAAAGAATACATGTATAGCCCTTCATTTTACTAAACTATACATTGAAAATACTATCCTACACCAAAGGGAAGTAATGCTTTTAGTGGACTAGCTTGTTTTTGTTTCTAACTGTAGAACATTGCACAACCAATTTTGTACTGCTCCATTATAGTTCTTACTACCTGCTGTTTTATAGGGAACAGAGACATTGAGTAATGCGTGTTTGCTATTCTTCCTCAGTTCCCCCCACTATAGAGGGGGTCCTGGACACCCCGACTGAAAGGAAGGTTATGGTTAGTAAATCTCTGACTCTGGATTGCAAAGTTGGGGGACACCCACCCCCTGCTCTGACCTGGCTGAAGGATGGGGTCCCCATCAAGAGCAGTGACAATGTGAGGATACTTCAGAAGGGGAAGAAGATGGAGATTCTGAATGCTACAGTGTCCGACTCAGGGAGATATGTGTGTATTGCCACCAGTGTTGCTGGGGAAAAGGAAATTAAGTATGACATCAGTGTTTTAGGTATGCTGTTTCATTTTATTCTCTTGAACTCCAAAAAATCCTTTTATGGAAGCTTACGGGTTGTTTTCAAACGTGTAAAACAAAAGGTTGTGAAGCCGATGGCAGCTTCTTTTAAGCACAAAACAGAATTGCACTGCTACTAAAATGTAAAAAATAATATCTTCATGTATACAACATACTGTATCTAAGCTGTTCAATCAATCGTCTGCCTCACAATTCTGTCTTTCATGTTAGCTTACTGGTAAAATTAAGGGTGCCAGTAGGTTCTTAGAAATCTAAAAATATTATCCACTTCATTGTCCTTCTGTGTAAAGACTTTTAGGCCTGGTACGTATAAGCTAAGTTTAATGGTTTTAATATTTCAGCATTGCTTGGTTTAAACATCTTGCTTTTTGACAGTTGATTGTAAACTACTGTTTGACACCAACTGTATTTGACTAAGTCAGCCTGAAAACATTGCAGTCATTCCTCCTCTGGTTTTAGTGCCTCCATCAATGGGAGGGGAAGATGAAACCACAGACACCACTGTGGTGGTCAACAGCCCACTGGAACTGGACTGTCCAGTCACTGGGACACCGACTCCACAGATCACGTGAGCTGCCCTCATAATCCTCTCACTTCCTGTTATACTTCCTGTTATCTTGTCATACTTTCAGAGAGAATAAAACAAAAAAAGTCTGTCTGACAGCGCACAGCACAGAAAATGGATTTTAATGAGTGCAATTGAGTTGAATTTAACCTATGGACTTCGAGATGGTTTGGCTACCAATACTACTTACTTGTTGAATCTGCATGCAGATTCCATTGGAACATTTCTGGGATGAAATGTCTGCTGCACATGCTGTACTTACTAGCTCGTTCATCACATTACATTAGTCATTATGGTGACTAGTGAGCAGGAAGGAGCGTCGTCATGCCTTAATTCTCAGTACAGTACTTTCAGAAAGTTAACAATTTTGTGCTTAATCAGGAAATTGTAAAATTTTGAAATACCATCAATTAATTTATTTTGCTTCCAAGATTTAATAACCAGTCTGAGCAATTGGGACTCCGCTTCCCCTTTCAATGAACAACTTTTAATATTTTCTGTATATAAACAGCTGTCAATATGTCCTCCCTTTATTTGTAAGATGCCAAGGCCTGAATTCATTTCTTCCTTTAGGTGGTTAAAGAATGGCCAGCCAGTTGTTCAAGGAAATGGGGTGAAGATCATGTCGGGTGGGCAGAAGTTGGTGATCTCTCGTGCCCAGGTCTCAGATACTGGGCGCTATCAGTGCGTTGCGACCAATGAGGCTGGAGACAAGGAGAAGGATTTTGATGTAGCTGTTCATGGTAAATATCAGTAGCATGTTGTTACTGTAATGTTTTTTTATATATACAGAAAGCTTTCTTGAAAAGCAGATCACACTCAATAAAATGATTCCTGTAAATACTGTACCAATTATACATTAAAGAGTTTTGGAGTAATACAGTCCTGAAAAAAACACTTGTTTTTTCCAGTTGTTACTTCATTAATGGTATTTCTACATTTGTTTCACACTGGCAATGCTATCCGACTGAAGGGACTGAATTCAGGTACTGTAAATAATCATCTGTTCCGTTCACACCGTATTATGTGTTGTCTATCATTTTAGTTGCTTCTTGCATTTTTTTGTTCAGGGAAGTTCTCTCTGACAGGCCACCGTTGTGAGTTCATTGCACTAAAAACACATACGTAGTTATACCACTGTACGTCAATGTACTTCCATTTTTACAGCCTAATGTTTTCAAACGAGCTTTTTGAAGTGCTTAGGGAATTTCTGTATTTTAACATTTCTTTTTCTTGGGCATTTGCCCTAGTTCCTCCAGCAATTCGTTCTGCAGGACCTTCTGAGCGCTCTGTTATAGTTCACAAGCCCATCACTCTGCAGTGTGTGGCCAACGGCATTCCTAACCCAAGCATCACATGGCTGAAGGATGGACGTCCTGTCAACACAGCGAGGGGAAACATAAAGGTAGCAAGGGCTGAAGCTGCAAACGCTGCAGAGACTAAAAGTTAAAAATCGGTTTATTTGGATCAGACTTGAATTCCTTAAGCTTGGAAAAATAAGCCACCCTTTAAAATGTTTTACTGATTGATTTAATAAGATGTGACCAACCTTTTGCACCCCAAATTAAATGAACAGATGGTGCAGAAGTTACACTGTAACCTCTTCAGTTCTCTTTCAGCTTTTGAGCAATTAGTTCTGCACATCACTTTATACAGTATACAATTTCTTATCCTTTCTACTTTAGTTGTTTGTTTCTCTGCCTCCCTCTCTTATATCACGTTTGTCCCACTTTGTGAATTGATTCCTTTTTTCATTCATAGAAATCGATGAGAATATTTTAATTTTTTCCTCTTTGTTTGGCCTCTCGTCACAACCGGGAATCTGTGGCAGTACTGTGCTCATTTTGCGTCTGCTTGTGTCTGCAGCTGGAGTCAGCCGGCAGAGTCCTGCAGATAGTGAAGGCTTTGTTAGAAGATGCAGGAAGATACACCTGTGTTGCCACAAATGCTGCTGGGGAGGCACAGCACCACATACGCCTTAGTGTACATGGTATGAACGAATCCTTCACAGCCACACTTTCGAACCTCATGAAACAAGAACTTGAGAACAATCGGTACAGTAATTGTGGTTCTCTAATGATTGTGACACCCCGAAGTGGATATCTTAAACAAACAGCCAAAAGGTGAAGAGAAAGTGGTCTTTTGTTTGCAGTGTAAAGGAAATACGCCAGCACTGCAATGCAAACGTTTAAGCTCCTTCTGAGCTTCTCACTAGACTTCTTCATTCTAGTAGCTGGGTAACTTATCTACTCCAAACACACTGTTTCGTTCTCTGGAACTTTCAACACTCACAAAGTTCTGAGTTTTCGCTCAGTCGTTTGGATGCTTCTATCACGCCCTCTCTCTGGCCAGGTGACTGAGGATGGCAGGTCATTCCCCACTGCCTTCTGGGAGACACAGTTCAGACAAGAATCTCCACCTTGCCTGCACCAACTGCCCTCTCCCACTAAGACATTAAAAGTCATTAAATCTTTGGTGAAAGTGTTTTACCTTAGAGAATAAAATACAATTGAGGACTTTTAATTGAGTGCCTTTTTTCTTCATCTCCTCAGAACCTCCCAGTGTAGAGAATGAAGGAGAGACTCTGAATGATACTGTCATCATTAACAATCCCATCCAACTGGAGTGTAAGGCATCTGGAAACCCTCTCCCCGGTAATTTGCTTATGTTTTTTGTTTTGTAATTTAAAAAATGGATGTCATTTTTCAGACAGACCTATTGAAAGTTTGCTCTATTTACTTTGTACAGTTAGGTTATCAAGTAGATCTCTTTCAGAATGAAGATGGTCACAATCAAGCTGGAGCTGATTTTCTACAGCAGTCACATAAACATCATAGATTTGTAGATACAGTACAAGAGGATTTTTGTTTTCTAGGAGGAAAATTAAATGCATTGTGTAAAAAAAAATGTTCAGATTCCAAAGGAGAATAAAAAACCAAATGTCCTTTAATGAAAAAGAAAAATGTTCATCTGTACCTGCCCGCAACCTCTTTTTGTTCTCTAATTTTGACTCAGCTATGTAGTCACACCTGCCTCTAAAAGACATGATTTGCCATAGGGCTAAGGGGTTTTAATTTGGGCTATTTTGATTGTCAGCTATCACCTGGTACAAGGATGGCCAGCCCCTCTCAGGTGCTGCTGGAGTGACAATATTGAACCGTGGTGAGATTTTGCAGATTGACAACGCCCAGGTCTCAGATATGGGGCTCTATAAATGCGCTGCCATCAGTGTAGCTGGGACCGCAGAGCTCTTCTATAGACTGCTGGTGTACGGTGAGTAAAGAAACGGAAACAGTCATTTGCTTTCATCTCGTGTTTGGAATCACATGTGTTTCTCAAGACAGCTTAAATGTACAGTACTGTGTTAAAAACTTTTCCAACAACACTCAATGAAAAGTTCAAATGAAGATTGCTTCTGCTTGTATATGCATGTGTTTTAAAAAATTGTTGATGGAAACCTATGCTATGATGCTATGATTACCTGCTAGCCATTTAGAAGACTCATTTACAGTGACACTGTCTGATGCTTGTCTATGTCCATGCAGTTCCCCCCTCCATTTCTGGCAGCAGTGACGTGGTCACAGTGGTGGTGAACAGTCCTGTGAGGCTGGAGTGTGAGGCCAGAGGCATCCCAGCGCCCAGTCTGACCTGGCTAAAAAACGGCAGTCCTGTTGCCAGTTTCTCTGACGGAGTTCAAGTAAGAAAGCAGCTTTCTCAGCTCCGTTCCCCGGCTGGTTTCGTTTGTCTTCAGCGGGAGGCTGAGTTTTGTTTTCGTGCACCTCTTTCCACAGGTGCTGTCAGGAGGGCGCTCACTGGCCATTTCAAGTGCTCAGGTCAGCGACGCTGGGAGGTACACCTGTGTGGCCGTGAATGCAGCTGGAGAGGAGCAGAGAGAGATTGATCTGCAAGTCTACGGTGAGGACACCTGCATAAAAAAGGACATCAGCACTGAGGCTTTTGTTTTGTGTCTAATTCTGATGGACATAGAAAAGATAGCTGTTAATCAAATGTTAAGAAGGTTAACTGTGTCATTTTATATGTAATTAATTAACATATTTATATATATATATTCATATAATGCATTGCCCAGTGCGTGGTTTGGTCAACATTTTGAGAAACTGAAACAATTCATGCCTTTAAAGAGAGCAAAGGGACAGTGCCCTCAGAAACAAAACCATATTTGTTGCTGTAATTGTTATTATTCTTTGACAACTTCCTGAATATAAGAAATACCCTCTTCTGCACTGTCCTTCTTTTGACAACATTGACATTTGTAAAACCATTCCAGAATCTGAGTGGTGAGTAGTGATTATTACTCTAGGCCACTGCCCAGAGAAAACTGGGTTAGAGTCCCCAGTGAAGTCCGAGTTGTAGTGCTTTTGAGCAGTGTTTCACCCTGATTGCATTCACTGAGGGATACAGCAACAAGGCTTGTTTATGGATAGGTAATTTAATGCTACAGAACACAACTTAGTATCCAGGCTTGTGAACCTGTTGTCGTGTGAAGGACTACAAAGCCTATGATTTGCTTTCATGGCAGTGCCACCAAACATCATGGGAGAGGAGCTGAACACATCCTTCCTCCTGGGCCAGTCGGCCGTGCTGCAGTGCCATAGCAATGCTATACCTCCACCGACCCTTGTCTGGTACAAGGATGGCAGACCGCTTTTCAAGAAGCCTGGTCTCAGTGTGTCAGAAGATGGAAGTACCCTGAAGGTAAAACGTGATTAAACCTGTGTCACGTCTCCTCTGGGAGGGTGTATTATAAAGGCAGCAAATCTGCAGTCTTTTTGAAGTATCTTTCTCCCGTGTGGTGCTAATGTTACAAACCGTGAAATTTGACATAATGAGCAGACTCTAAAACATATTTCATTTTACAGTAAAAAGTCCATCTTTGCTGTTGCTACTGGTTCGAAAAAAAGAAAACTCTTACTTCCAGTTTTGATACACTGAAGTTTCAAGTCGCACAGCTTGATTCAATGGAACAGTTTTCTTTTCAGTAGCTTTCAGTATTGATATTGTATTGTCCAGTATTATAGAACTTAGAGCCTCTGCACACTGAACAAATGCCGTTAACAAATCTGAAAAGCATCTTAATGGAGGTCATTGTGTTTAAGCCATTTCTCAGTCCAGCATTTCGGCAAGATGGACCTGCCCTTACTAACTAATCAATTCAGCTTTAATTTGTTTGTTTTTTTCACATTTTAGATTGATCGTGTTCAAGTACAAGATACGGGCAGATATACTTGTGAAGCCACAAATATTGCTGGTAAAACAGAGAAGAACTATAACCTAAATGTCTTGGGTAGGTTTTTATCATTTCATTGTTGTTTATATCCTGTCAAAGACCAAACCCCAACAAAGAATTGACAATGTCTGCAAACGGTTTCACACTCCTGAAGAAAAAAAAATCTAAATTTATAGAAAAAACAACAATTTACCATGATTTTTTTAAAAAATATATTTTTACAAATTATAAACGTGTTCTTTTAACTTGAGGACTTTAATGTTTTTCTTTAATGTTCAAACATGTTTTCAGACAACAGATTATTTCTCAGTGAGCAAGAAGAAAGTTTCCATTTAACTGACTTGGGTCTCTCTGGTGTAGCATGTGTACTCTAACCTTAATCTACCTGTAAGCAGAATAATATTATTTTTTTATGGCAATACCACAAGACATGCTTCAGTAAGCAAGTAGAATTGAGACATTGACCTGAAACACACAGACCCTTTACTGGATGCAGATGTTCTTAGAGGGGGTGGACGATGAAGTTCCCCAGCATCTGCAGTGCATCGTCTGAATGATGTCACCCCATTGCTGTGTCATAGCCATTTTGTGAGATCATTTCAGTCAGTTTTAGAGCAGTTATGGTTGAGTGTTCATTTTCTAATCATCACTGGGGGGTTTCATTGGCAGGGATTCTTAGATATTACTCAGTGAGGTCATGCTGTCTCCAGTTTTATACCTATCTGCTGGAACTAATTAGGAAACAGCAGATCAGTAGTTTATTTTGATTGTATATTTCTTAAAACTCTCCAGTGTGTGCATTACTTGAATGAAAAAACTCAAGCTTAGGGAACATACAGGCGAATTGAATATAACATGCTGTAATTGGTGTTACTATATTGCTTCATGGTTATTACATCCTGTATCTTGATCAACTATAGTTAAAATACATTTTTTAAAATAACTGAGTTATAATAATAATTAATTCCTTACACGTATACAGTGCTTTCTGGACACTCCACTCAAAGCACTGTACAGGCACTGGGGACTCTCCACCCCCACCTGGATGATGTGATGGCAGCCAAAGTGCACCAGTAGGCTCACCATACACCAGCTATCAATGGGGAGGACAGCAGACCAATAATTCTAATTCATAGATGGGGATCAATAGGAGTCCATGATTGAGAAACGCCAATCAGAAATTTGGCCATGACAATAGGGTTACACCCCTACTCTTTTCGGAAACGCCTTGGGATTTTTAAGGACCATGGAGAGTCAGGACCTTGGTTTTATGTCTCATCTTGAACGATGGGACCTTTTTGTCCCCATCACTATGCTGGGAGCATTAGGAGCCACACAGACCACAGGGTGAGCGCCCCCTACTGGTCCCCTAATACCTCTTCCAGCAGCAGCATTAGCTTTCCCATGAGGTCTCCCTTCCAGCTACTGACCAGGCTCACACCTGCTGAGCTCCAGTTGGACGCCATTTGTGAGTTGCAGGGTGATATAGTGCCAGCACAAGTAAATCTGCTGTAGTTATCTACCAGAGTCCAGATGTCAGGAGGGATGGCAAACATGGCAGTCTCCTGTATACATCAGGAGTAGCAGGATAAGGTTCATTTTTCTCTTCAAACAGAGATCTGTCTTGAGGGATTGCTGGTACCAGTATCTAATTTCACTCTTCCTCTGCTGTTCAACCCAGCTCCTTGTCTGTCCATCAGCAGCTCATTCATTATTCTCCCTGACTGTTCCCGAAGCCCAGCCCCTCGGTTCAGGTGTTTGGCAAGCCCAGTCAATGCAAGTCAAGCTAGAATGAATGGTCTTTCACTGGGGGTAGCTGGGGGTGGGTTTTTGCTCTCAGAGACAGAGAGACAGAAAAAGCGCTTTCTCTAGCACTTTGAAGGGAAAATCAGTGAGATTTTAAAAGCCCTTTTTTGTGGCTTTGAAGCATGTGGGCTATTTTATGCTGGAGACTTTTACAGGCATGGTGATGCCACAAATCTGCACTCTCACTGTGCGTGTGGAAAATTGGAACGATTGCAAACATATTTCTAGCTAAAACTATAAAATATACATTTGGACATGTGCAATCGGACTGGTCTTTCTGTCAGCGTGCTGTGACTGTTTTAGAATGGTTCCAAGCTGTTCCTATTCTTGAGCTGTGTTTATATTGGCATTCTGCAGTCTTGGGATTCACTGAATGGAAAACGATAGGATTGACGTCTAAATGCAAAGTCCTGTTGGCTTTGTATCAGTAGAGCGTTGTGACTCTCCCCATTGTTTTTATTTGGATCTTGAGGTGAAAAAGAAATTAGGATACTTGCAATAATATAAAAAAAACAAGCATTAATTTCAGGTATGAATTGTTTTCCTCTCTCATGCCCATACAAGCTGTGTGCTTATAAAATAAGAATCTGTAGAATGAATAAATATGAGCAAAGCTTCTGTTCTCTTCTGTTCTCAGTGCCTCCCAGTATCCGAGGCTCTGACGAAGTGTCCCCACTCACTGTGATTGAAGGAAGCCTCATCACTTTAGTTTGTGAGTCCAGTGGTATCCCACCACCCAACCTCACCTGGACAAAGAATGGTAAGTAATACAGCACAGACAGCACCATTAAACCCATGCAAACAACTCACACAGAGGCAACAAATCTTCCTGCGTTCAGTGTGATGGGTGCACATTTATTGTACGGCTGCAGATGCATGTTTTGGACAAACAGGCACAGAAAAGACAAAGAATCTCAATTCACGGTATGGAATTCCCTATCCTTTCCTTATTATTACAATGACATGTACTCTTCTTTTTATGAGAAAGAAGTGAAAGAGATGGCAGGGGTGGTACTGCAAAAACCAATAGGATTCAAGCAAGAGCGTATCCTTCATACTCTCTCACTCTCCCCTATATTACTATTTTATCCGAAAGTCTATGGTCCTGACATTATGTGACACTGCACAATCAAGAAAGAGCAAACAAAAACATTAATAGGAAATGTATGAATGATTCACTAACTAGATGCCAGATCTCAAATTCTGGGCATCAAGGCCCTCACATGTAGAATTTGTACTTTAGTTGGTTTGTTTATAGCATCTGAATCATATGACCTGTGTGAACCAGCCTTTTAAATTCCACCTTGATGTGGACACAAAATCTGATGAAAGCACCAAAGATTGTAGAGGCAGAGTTTCTAGAAAAGATATCTCAAATAGGTGGTAGTTAACCAACCATCAAAAGCTTAATAAAAGTATTTGAAAGAACTGGGAGTGGTAAGGTTTTTTCAGATTACTGTGAAGGGCATGGAGGTACCTGTTCTTTTTTAAACATCATTTATAATGAGCCTTTCCTGCTGTATTAGCCACTCACTGACGGGCTTTCCATGGCTGTGACTGTGTACAGGTGAAGCCTTAAATGTGGACCCACGAGGCCGAGTACGAGTGCTGTCCGGAGGCAGGCAGCTCCAGATCTCCAGTGTTAACAAGTCCGACACTGCCTCTTACTCCTGTTTGGCATCGAGCGTGGCAGGGAAGGCCATGAAGGAATACACTGTGCAAGTTTACGGTACTGAAGACCACTATGTATATAGAGATATGTAATGCAGGATACTGGAAAAAAGGAGGTTTCTGCCTTGCAGTTCCAGATCAATTGACTGATATTGAATTAAATTAATATGCAGAAAGGAAAGAATATTTATTTGTTCTGATCCATAACATATTTAATGTGAAATATACTACTGTACATTGTGGTATTTTTGAGGTCTTGGGGGAATATTTGCTTTTCCCTGTTAGCTTGAATTTAAGTCATAAACCGGATTTCTACTGTATAAACTTCCAGAGATATTACACAATGTTTGAGGGGACATCATTCCAGGTGGAAATTGGCCGCTACAGATCTTTGACACCACAGGAGCAGGAAAATCAGAGGATCAGTAATTGGTCTTTTTTGTCTTGGGTGAACATTAGTGTAGAAGAAGGATGCGGTCGATGACTCGCTTTCTGTTTTCTCAATTCAGTGCGGCCTACCATCTCGAACAGTGGGAAGATCCCAAGAGAGGTGACGGTGACGCGTGGTACCGATGTCACCCTGCAGTGTGAAGCTGAGGGCGTCCCACGCCCAGCCCTCACGTGGCTGAAAGATGGGCACCCGCTGGTGAATGGCAGGGGGGTGCAGGTGTTGAATGAAGGAAGGCTGCTGCAGATCAAGAACTCCAAGGTGTCCGACACTGGGCGCTACATGTGTGTGGCTGTAAACGTGGCAGGTCAGGCAGACAGCAAGTATGATGTCAATGTGCATGGTAAGTTTCACAGGAAAATACTCAATATTTAGAACAGCAACAGCCTATTACCTGCAAAAAAAAAACCAGGCAAACCTCTTAAGTACAATTTAAACACGCAAACATTTTTTTAAAATTAATAAGGCCGGTAATGTTGTGTTTTTTGTTTGAACTTTTAGTTTTCTTCCTGTGATGCTAAATTGATTTTTTTTTCTTGTTCTATCCTTAAACAACAGGTTTTTACTTCCAAAGAATCAGTGTTGGGGAAAAAGAAAAATGCAAATGTATGTCTGTAGAATGAACGTCATACTGTACGTTGAATTAACATCAGACTTTTTTTCCCCCTTTGTGCTCTGTTAGTTCCTCCCAGTATCAGTGGCTACTCTGGGACTCCTGAGAATGTCAGCGTGGTGGTAAAGAACCCAGTGGCTTTGACTTGTGAAGCCTCAGGGATTCCTCTCCCAGCAATCACCTGGCTCAAAGATGGGCTTCCCATCAGCTTGTCAAACTCTGTCAGGGTCCTTTCTGGTAAGTACTTTGCAGCAGGCATAGGAAACAGTGAAAATGCATGTTCCCTCATTATCATCTCTGTTCAACAAAAGGGATGTCAATTTAAAAATGGTGCAAACTGAACCTAATAGTACATCAATAAAAATAAAACCCATTTCGGACAGCCTAAATTTCAACATCTCTGTGAAAAATCCAAGAAAAAGACATTTCAATCCTGTGCAGCTAAGATAAATGTGCTTGGTTACCGTGTGGAACGATGTGCTTGTGTTCAGGTGGTCGGACTCTTCGGCTTCTGCGCTCAACAGTGGAGGATGCTGGGAGATATACCTGTGTCGTGTCCAATGCTGCTGGAGAAGAGAGGAAAAACTTTGACCTGGACATCCTAGGTAACTGATTGATCCAATTCCATTGAAGAAACACTCTTATAACTGTCAGCCACAGCTGCTACAGAGAGAGATCTGTGAAGGACCTGTAGCATCTCAAAGTTGTTGTCATGGTGCTATATGGTAATTCTGACTTTTTAAAAAATTATCTGGAGTTTAATGCATTTAATGAAGTTTCCATTTTTTCCCTGCTCTTTTCCAGTGCCCCCGAGCATTGCCAATGAGGGGACAGTGGAAGATGTAAAAGTGAAAGAAAAGCACAGTGTGACGCTGACATGCGAGGTCACAGGTTTGTGATTCAATAAGCTTCTTGTACATGGACAGCAGAAACTTGCGTACATATGATTTGAGTGAATTTGGAGTTTTTATTAATCGTTATTGAATTCACATATTTTTCTATTTTGCTCGCATGTGGAAACTAGTGTCACTTGATTAAAATCCTTCATTTTTGCATGTATAAACTTTGGAGAAACCAAAACAAAGGCTTCCCTTTTAATTATTTTTTTTTTCGGGTTAGTATACTTTCTTTCATTTCAATCTGCACTTTACATTGGATTTAATTCGTCTTTCCCTCTTCTGAATGCACCATTGTGTGAATGCTGTACGTATTACATTTACATTTCTTCATTTGGCGGACACAATTATCCAAAGCAACTTGCGACTGCATCCTGTCAAGATACAAAGAGTGCATAACACAGTAGCTTATCGTCTGGCAGGTAATCCCGTTCCCAGGATCAGCTGGCTGAAAGACGGACAGCCCCTGTCTGAGGATGAGAAACACCAGATCCTCTCCTACGGTCGCTTCCTGCAGATCTCTGGAGCCCAGGTGTCCGACACTGGAAGATACACCTGCCTGGCATCAAGCACTGCAGGGGACAGGAGCAAGCACTTCAACCTCAATGTGCTGGGTACTAGTCATACATAAAAACTGTTTATAAACCTAATAAACCTTGCTCCGGTTACACTATGTAAAGACAGTGTAAAGATTTTTTTGGGTGAGCAAGGGGCATATTAGTAATAATTCAAGTAGGTAGCTGTGTCAGCATGCGTAGGCTGCAAAGGAACAAGTAGAAGTCTATTCCATGTTGAAAAGAGAAGAAAAGAAACACAATGTTTCAGCTGAGGAGCCTTCTTTGGGTGAGCCTTCTTCTCCTGGTTCCTGGCTTCTACCTGGTTCCACAGCTGAACCGTTGTGTTATACTAATACTTGAATTATAATTGTGTTTCTTTTGCATATTAATAATAGTTTTCTATGTAAATGTGGTAAAAGAGTAGAAAATAAAATGATTTGAAAGTAAGCTCTTTCTGAAAGCTTCTTGGGCTCGTTTGAAATGTGCTACCAAAACAAAAGAAGCAAGTCAAGCCTTTATGAAGAGGTGGTGCCTCTTGGATATTTGCTGTGTTAGTTATCAGCACTATAGACTGTCTGCTGGTAAGGTAGGTGCACTTAAAAAACTCAACGAATGTGTTTGTCTTATCAGTTTCCCCTACAATAGTGGGGGTAGATGAGGAAGGCACAGCGGATGATGTAACTGTGACCTTAAACAGCCCCACCTCCCTGGTCTGCGAGGTGCAGTCCTTCCCTCCTGCCACCATCACTTGGCTCAAGGATGGCATCCCATTTGAATCCAGCAGTACCGTCCGTGTTCTGCCAGGTCAGGAAGCCCCTTACTGCGTTATCAATGCATCTTATCGCTGAAGGTGCAGCAGGCTTAACAGACGCTGCTCCCCTGATAAAATAAAAGCCTGCTGGTCGCTTGCTGTGCTCAGTGTTCCTTATGAGATAATCTTTTAGCCCTAAAGGTAATCTGCTGTGATTTTATAATAATCCCAGGTGGGCGCACGCTACAGATTCTAAATGCCAAGGAGGAGGATGCAGGCAGGTATACCTGCGTTGCTACCAACGAAGCTGGAGAGACCCTGAAAAACTACGAGGTCAAAGTTTACAGTGAGTACTCTGCCTTCAGCTTTACTGCTAAATAAGTAGCCTCATGTCGAGAGGCTCTTTCTGGTCAATTGCATATTCTTTACAACTGATTTTTTTTCAAAGTCGACATCAAATAACCTTTATGCATCTCTGGTGACTTCTATGTATTATACCTATGAACCTGGTGTGCAGTATAAAGTTTGACTGGAAGTGTTCTCCTGCAGTCCCTCCTGTGATCAATAAAGAAGATGTTCCTGGAGAAGGTGTCTCCCCGAAGGAGGTGAAGATTAGGGTCAACAACAGCCTGACTCTTGAATGTGAAGCTCAGGCCATCCCTACTCCCAGCCTGCGCTGGTATAAAGATGGCCAGGTACAGTACTGTATGTGCACATTCTGGAGAATCATGAGAGGGATCTGGGATCTGCCAACAGTCAGTTTGCCTCTTGGGTTTTGAAAATAAGTGGTGGTCAGGGCTCTGGACTGGAAAGGTGTGGCTCTGCATCCTGGGCGAGGCATTTTGATTCAATAAAAATGCATGACTGTATAAACGAATATAATAAATCACCTTTTAAACTTAGTACTGTTATTTTACATTCAAGAGATAAATGGGTCGGTGGACGGATGAATGCAGTGCTCAGAATTTCTCCATCAAATAAGAGTCTACAAGGCTTTGCAGCTTTTGAATAACAAGTTTTAAAACGTCTAAATCGGTACCAAACTGTAACAACTTACACTATTCCATTTATTTCCACAGCTCCTACATGCAGATGGGCATGTGACTATCACCACTAATGGCCGTATAGTCCAGATCAAGAGAGCTCAGGTGTCAGATACAGGCCGCTACACATGTGTGGCCTCCAACATTGCCGGGGAGGATGAAAAGGACTTTGATGTAAACATACAAGGTAAAATATTTTCTTATAGTCGCTGCTCGTTCGGATTTCTTCGGCCGTGCCTTTCATTTCTGGTGCATGAGTTCCCCCTATGGGCCTTCTGCGGTAGTGTTTTTGAGGGGCTAGATCAGATGAAAAAGAAGACTGTGTGGACTTCTACGGTTTCAAGATTTGTTTCTCTTTATACAAATCTATTATGTGGAAAAAGGACCATTATCCCAAACTCTGTTGACGTCTGGGTTCTGTCTTCTTTATTCTGTAGTTCCTCCTAGTTTCCAGAAGCCTACGAGAATGAATGACAGGGATTCTTCAAACAGCAGCAGTGATACCAAAGATGTGGTTCTTAACAACCCCATCTCCCTGTATTGTGAGACCAATGCTATACCACCACCCACTCTTACCTGGTACAAAGATGGCAAGCTTTTAACCTCCAGTGACAAAGTGCTGATACTGCCTGGTAAGACCCAGTGGTGCTTAAACCCGATGAATGGAGGAAGCAGAAGCAGTTTCTCTCTCTGAAATGGCTGATCTTTCTCTCGCCAGGGGGGAGAGTGCTGCAGATCTCCAGGGTGCAGGCGGGGGATGCTGGGAGATATACCTGTGTGGCTGCGAATGAAGCTGGAGAAGATTTCATTCAATATGACATCAGGGTCCTCCGTGAGTAAAACTGGGGACATGGCTTTGCAGAGCTGGGACCAGTATCAGTAGTCATCGTAGTACCACAGTCGATTTTTAGGACAATCTTGGTCATTTAGAAGTTTCTGGAAAATAACCAAGACAGCTCTTTACAAAACTAGACATATTTAAAATTGCAAATTAAAAATAAGTAATTTAGTAAATCCTAGACTCTCAGGAATTCCATAACTATTTATCCAAGTAGAGGTTATTTCTTATTAAATTTGTTGTTTTTGTAATGAAATCCTGCCCATTTGACCAGTTTCTTCAGTCTATTGGGCAATTATATAGGAAAAAGTTAGTTGTTCTGTTTGGTTTCACAGTTCCACCCTCCATTAGAGGTGCTGAAGAGGACTTGGTGAGTGAGATCACAGTCCTTGTTAACCACACCACGATGATTGAGTGTCTGGTTGACGGAAGTCCCCCTCCAAAAATATCCTGGCTGAAGGACAGCCAGCCCCTGACTGAAGGCAGTCCATACAAACTGCTGTCAAATGGCAGAGCCCTGCAGGTGAGGAAACGCCTTTACCACAATTAATACACATGAAATGCTGCAGGCATTGAGCAAGGCTACACATATTGTAATACGTCTTTGTCCCATTTAAAAATGTGTTCACTGTCATCTAGGTGTTTTTAACAAGAAAACTTTTCATTTAGATTTCTGTTGTTTCAGATGACCGTACAATGTCCTGATTCTAGCTGTTGTTAAATTTGGTATTCTCTGTTAGGTGGTGAATGCTCAAGTGACAGACACTGGCCGATATGTCTGTGTGGCAGAAAATGTAGCCGGGAGTGCAGAGAAATATTTCAACCTGAATGTACATGGTAAGTAAGGACTTCATTACTGTATGGGATAACGTGTAGCTATTTTTAAGGTTGATTTTAAAATCAAAGTCAAAGTCAATATTCGATTATTATAATAAGTCAATAGACAATTAGAATGATGTATAAAAGGGTAGTTTTCAGGTGGATGGTTAATGGATATGATGGGTTGTGACTTACAGTGCCTCCGTCCATTGTGGGAGTTAACCCAGAAGAGGTGACTGTGGTGGTGAACAACTTCATCTCTTTGAGCTGTGAGGCCTCAGGCTTTCCGCCGCCCTCTCTCAGCTGGCTGAAGGACAGAAGGCCAATCCAGGCCAACACCAATGCTCTCATAATGCCCGGTGAGTGTAGGTCTCACTGTCACTTTCACTGGAGAAGCTGTGTTATATGTGCCATATTACTAAAATATCCATCCTCCTAAAGGAAATGTTACTACTTTTCCATTCACTCAGGTATATCTTTAATTTAAATCATGGGTTCAAATGCAGTAATTCAGACCCAAACTGCTGTAGACCTACTTTATATCCCTGTGATGGGCCTTGTCCCATATACTGTAAGTTTGAAGTTAATATCATTCTTACCTTTTTGTAAGCAGTTTAGTTGGTTTGTTTGTTGGTTGCAGCCACTTCACCTCATTTTGGTTTAACAGTCAAAACCCCATTCAGAGGCAAGGCCGGATTTAAAGCCTGGAAGGCAATCGCCTGATGGTCACCAGCTTGTTTCCCCTTGTGTGCCCTCTTGTGGACTGGAGGGGAGCTGGTCTATCCATCCATTTATAAACACTGGTGTTTTAAAATAATAACTCAAATGTTTCAATTAGGTATTCAAAAATTGTTATTAAGGGAAACGTGAAATATAATACTGTATACGTTGGTAATGGATGCCTGTTTTGATGTCTGTGTTTTTATTGAGGTGAGTGGGTCTGTTTGGTAGTAGGGTCTTTTAGGAGTGTTGTGGGAGTCTGTGATTTTTTTTATATTTCCATTTAAAGGCATGCTGGAGTTCGTTATAATTCTATCAGGCCAACCAAAAAAAGACTATAATAATTGGAATTACATTTGAAGCATTCATCCTGTAACTCAGATAACAAATAATACTTTCTCGTGTCCTTACTGGTGTAATTTCAGTTATTAGTTGAAATTTCACACCATTCATGCTAGCTGTAAAGCAAGATGGCCCATTTAAGTTAGCAATCCAGTTTGTTTACTAGAGATTCGTGTTTTTTACAGGTGGGCGAACTCTGCAAATTCTCCGAGCAAAGTTGTCTGATGGTGGAAGATACAGCTGTGTGGCCATGAACAAGGGTGGGCAAAGCGAGAAGCTGATCTTTCTCACGGTCTTTGGTTGGTATTTTTTCATTAAACGTCTTCCTCTTGCTGATAAACCTCTGGTGCTGAGAGCAATTCTGTTTTGCAGTTGGAGAAGCTGGACCTTGACTGCATGAAGAGATGAGTGTGTTACTCTGAAAAAGTTTGAAATCCTCACAGTAGTTTTAATTTCACAGTATTGTATAATTTACGTTTGCCTGGCTCATATTTGTGCATGTAATGTGTGGCATTTCAGACATTTAAGGTTGTTTTGTGATAAAGGAAAATATTCCTTCACTGACTCAAGAATCTTACATTTTGAGTTGTGATCATATATATTTTTCCATGAAGATGACTGTATAGATGGGTTGATGATTCTACTTTTTACTATGAATATATGAAAAAATCTTTTCTTCATGTTCCAGTTCCTCCCAGTATAAGAGACCACAGTGGAGAGTCCCCTGTAGTCGTGAGTGTGCGAGTGGGTAACTCGGTGACTCTAGAATGTGAGTCAAACGCTGTGCCTCCACCTGTCATCACCTGGTATAAAAATGGCAGGGCCATCACCGAATCAACCAATGTTAAACTACACACGGATGGACAGACGTTAGAGATTAGAGAGGCCGAGGTAGGGCTTGAAAACCTGATAAATGTATGGACTGCGAATTTGTCAGTTACGACTGTGAGAGCCCGGTCCTCACTTTCGAATAATGATATATTTCACTCTCAGGTGTCTGACACAGGCCAGTATGTCTGTAAAGCCACCAATATCGCCGGACAAGTGGACAAGAACTTCCATCTCAATGTTTATGGTAAGAAATTGGTGACTGAATATTACAAAATGGCACTGCGACGTTGAAATGTTTTTGCCTATGCTGTCAGAAAATGGAACTGCTGTGAATGGACACTGTCATGCGAGATGTGTTGTGGAGAATAAAAGACTATTAAAACGGATGTTCCAACGGGACATTCTGATTTTGTTTTGTCTCAGTTCCTCCCAGCATCGACGGCCCAAAAGAGGAAAGACATTTGGAGACAATCAGTAACCCAGTGACCTTCGCCTGTGATGCCACAGGGATCCCTCCTCCCAGTGTCACATGGCTGAAGAATGGCCGGCCTATTGGTGAGCAACGTTCAATTAGTTTGTGAAAACTGGATAAAGCAAACAAAGCACTATATATGGTCAATATTAAAAAAAACACAAATTCAGTGTTTAGGAGACTGTAATTTTTTGGGGGGGGGATCTTTTCGGAATATTCTATCTCAAGTAACAGTTTTGGTTAATAAATTTCCCTTTCAGAAAATTCTGAATCCCTGGAGATGCACATTCTCTCAGGAGGCAACAAACTACAGATTGCTCGCTCACAGCTCTCAGATAGTGGTACCTACACCTGTGTGGCATCAAACATTGAGGGCAAAGCACACAAGAACTACCACCTCACTATCCAGGGTAGGTCACTCATTGCTCCTTTATGTGACGTTTAGGTTTGCTGGAGAGTTTTGGTGGGAAAATTGACCGGGAATCCCACAGTTGGTGGGTGTGGGAGCTCAGGGAAATGTTGTTTTTACTCTGCATGATTTGCTATGTGCAGAAAAAATAAAACAAGAAAAAGTGGGGAAAAAGTGAAATACCTGAAGAAGGCTCCACAGCCAAAACTTGATGTCTCTTTTTTTTCTTTCAGTATCAAAAAAACCTTTACATCGTCCTTTGTAGCACCTTTCTACTCAAACGTTATAAAAAAAAAGTGTTCACCAAATATTGTCAAAAAAACAATACCTCAGATTCCAAGACATTGTAAAAATTCACCACTCACCCATTCCCAACTCATTCTAGAGTAAATACTTTAATCATCCTTTTTGTGGGGGAGAAGAACTACATCAGTAAAGAACAAGAAACCTGGAACCAGGATGCCTTAAAAACCTTTTCTGTTTTGTTTTACTCAACCCAGTTCCCCCCAGCATCTCTGGCTCTGAGCTGCCCAGTGAGGTCAGTGTGCTGGTCAATAACACTGTCCAGCTGGTATGCCGAGCTGAAGGAATTCCATTACCCACAATTCAGTGGCTAAAAGATGGGAAGCCCCTGAACACAACTGGAGCAGGGAGCTTAAGGTATTCTCACTTGTGTAATATAGACCTTAAGAATTCACTTCAGCCCTCAAAGATGCAAATCTTTATGTGACCTTATCTCTGAGTTAGGATCAATGTGCTTTATCTCTTCAGAATCAGCCCAGATGGCAGCACACTAACTGTTGCTAGTGCTCAAACATCTGACAGTGGGAAATATACTTGTCTTGCCAAGAATGTTGCTGGAGAAGAGGATAGGATATTCAACCTCAATGTATATGGTGAGCTTTGCTGTGTGGATGTCAAGGCGAAAATGAAAATGGTTTAAAGTCTTTTAAGGTGTCAAGATGATAAAATTAAACAAGGTTCAAGCCAACTGGAACTTAACTGGTTAAATACCACAAAAGAAATAGATTGGAATCTAATTTGAGAAAGGCCTTCTAAAAATTGGTTAGTGATGTTAATGAACCTGAGATGAAACCATTATGTCTATGTTTCAATTTTCTTTTCAGTTCCACCTGTAATCCTTGCTAATACTGAGCGCGCGGAAGAGCTGACTGCTTTACTTGACAGCTCCATCAATATCGAGTGTGTGGTAACAGGCTCCCCTCCACCGCAGCTCAACTGGCTGAAAAATGGTCTTCCTTTGCCAGTCTCCTCACAGATCAGGCTGCTGTCTGCTGGCCAGGTGCTCAGGTGGGTCTTGTTAGCTGATTTGTTCTTGTGATTGCGTAAGAGGTTTGTCCACTCAGATCTTGACACTGAGCAACATACAGTGAGACCACCTTTCAGTGGTGGCATATTTTGGAAGGAGGACTTTGGTCATCCATACTTCCATCCGTTCACTAACCACTTTATCCAGTTCAGGGTCAAGGAGAAGCCAGAGCCTATCCCAGCAAGCAACTGGTGCAAGAAGGGTACACCCTGGACAGGGTGCCAGCCCTTTACAGACACACAGACACACACACTCACACCAGGGCCAATTTTCCCAGAAGCCAATTAACCTACCAGTACAGTATATACTTCTATAGAAAATAAGAAAAACCCAATTTCCCAGATGTAATGAAATGACAAATTAAGCCTTTTAGATTTACAAACATAGTGTATCGGGCAGCAGTGGTTAGGGTTCTAGACTCTTCACAGGAAGGTTGCAGGTTCAGATCCCAGGTGAGACACAGCTGTTGTTCCCTTGTGCAAGATACACCTGAACTGTTTCAGTGAAATGCCCAGTTGTACAAAAGGGTGTAAATGTAAGTCACATTGGATAAAAGCAGCATCAGTCATATAAGTTAGTGAGTAGTATATTTCCTCCTGCTGACTGATATACACATGTACTGTATGTACAGATACACACACGTGTATGTTAAGACTTTTCTTCCATTTCATTTTCAGAATTGTTAGAGCACAAGTTTCAGACGGGGGTACTTACACCTGTGTGGCTTCAAATCGGGCTGGAGTTGACAACAAACATTATAGCCTACAGGTTTATGGTGAGTCTCATACTATACTGTGTTATAAAGCAGAAAGATTAGAATGTATCTATACTTTCAAATCTTGTCTTTATTTGTAATACTATACATTTTAACTTCGTTATAACATTAAAACTTCTAATAGGTTATTTGAAGCAGCATGACACAACAGCCTAGGACAGTAAATGAAATATTAACTTGATGACTTTAATCGGCTATGATATAAATTTAAATTTAAGACATGCACAATAATGCATCTTATCATGGTTGTTTGCCATTGAAAGTCACACCTACAGAATGTTACTTCTAAATCCTTAGAATCCTTAGACTTGTTTAATATTTTTTTATAAAATCTTCAAACCAAAAATTAACAAGTTCTCACCAACACAATACAATAGCGGAGTTCAGAGAAATTAAAGTAAAAAAAAAAAATTTAAGTAGGTGAAATAAAAACTTCAATAGCTCCTACAAATGAACACAAGTTGAAGATCATTAATGTTTCTATCTCTGCTTAACCTTAGAGAACTGTCTTTTTAGCTGAAGCTAGACTTTGCAGTAAAAAACGTTATAGTTTCTTGGAAATTCTCATTTAGTAGGAGCAGCTGAGTGCTAAATAACGCAATAATATCTGAAAGCCCATTTGCCACATATACTCAAAATCACAGGCCACTTCCAAAGCATTTTTAAGTAAGTATAACCTTTCTATACTATGATGAAGGTGTCATTGGGATGGGAGCAATCATTTGGAGGATGCACGTTTTTAAAAATTAATGATCAGGTGTGCTTAAGTTTTAGAGGAAGAAAATGAATTATTTTCTTATGCTTTACACCTTTTGTCAAATGTGAGGTTGATTTGTCACCCAAGCCTCACCCTGTGTACTTCCTTATAATTGAAAAGGAACGCATATCTAAATCTCCTTGTTGCTTTGTGTCAGTCCCTCCCACTCTGGACAACGCTGGTGGGACCGAGGATGTGACTGTCGTAAAAGGAAACCCCACTGAGCTGCTGTGCGTCTCTGATGGCACACCCACACCCATTATGTCCTGGCTGAAGGATGCTGTGCCCCTCCAGCTTGGTGCCCACACCACTGTGCTGAACCAGGGCACTGCCCTACAGATCACCCAGGCACAGGTGGAAGACACTGGCAGGTACACCTGTGTAGCAACCAATGAAGCCGGGGAAGCCAGCAGGCACTTTAATCTCAAGGTGCTCGGTGAGTATGGCTACAAAAAGCAGTCGAGATGCAATGAATGAGCCAGATCACTCCTGTCTGAGGATGGAGTTGCTAAAGCGTTTAATGTTAGTGGAATCAGCATTAGGCTACAGGACCAGTGATACCACCCAAGGACACAAATGTTCATCTCATCCCTTGCTTCTCTGAAGAAGCCCCAAGCCATCTCGTCCCAGTAGCCGCCAATGCAGTGCAAATGAATAACGCTCACAGAACAGAGATCAAAGTGCCATGAATAAAACTGGCACATAACGCAGGGAAATGTTCATGGCCAAACATAGCAGTTCTATTTATGCCACCTGAGGTCTACAGCCATGAAAATTCAGAAATCCTTTCCCTGCATGTTATGGAATAATTGCTTGTCTATTTTAGCCAAAGACCTCCCCTTTCTTTTACATATGACTATAGCATTATCTTCATTATTCTTGGACCAAATCAAACAGCACATAGTTATTTGCAACCAGATGTCTTTGCTTGAACCATTTAGTTCAGTCTTTTTTGATAACCACCGGCATATGTTCAAGTGCAGAAATGAAATAGGCCAAGAAACAGCCCAGATTTAATTTTGTGTATTTTTTACTTATTTTGTTCCTCAGATCCACCTCGAATCAATGGCTCTGACTTCCCTGAAGAGGTGTCTGTGGTGGTAAATTATGCCCTGGAGCTCCACTGTGTCTCCACAGGGATCCCTCTCCCCACGCTGACCTGGATGAAGGATGGGAGGCCTCTTCCTCAGACAGACAGCACGCGGGTTTTGCGAGGGGGAGAGGTGCTCCGGATCAGCAGTGCACAGGTAACAGCGCCAGATTCAGAACACATCGAGCTTCCCGTTGCTCTCTGTCCAGCTGTCTTTTATACATCTGTTTATTGTTAGCTGACTAAAGGGCAAATTCCATGGCAGTCCCAGTGCCACTCATTTCAACATCATTCTCTTGAAACGTGTCAAGCTTTTAAGACTGTTGTTCTGTGTTTTCAGGTTGAAGACACAGGAAGATTCACATGTCTGGCATCCAGCCCCGCTGGGGATGATGACAAGGAGTTTCTGGTACGAGTTCACGGTGAGTTCTGGGCAGATGTTGTATCGTAGATATTTGACTTCATAATAATAATACATTTTACTAGAGCCTTTGAAAGTGCTTTACAGTATCTGTGACAAAGTTACAAGGATAGGAAATTACAAAGTAACTACATATAAGAAAGACAAGGTTAGAAGTGCAACAGAAGTTAAAAAATGGAGCAGACGTAGGCACTGTGTCTTTAATGAAAAGAAAGGTTTTGAGTCCAGACTTAAACGCCCTCAGGGTAGGTGCCCACTATATTTTTCACAAACTGTAGCATCTGGGCCTTTCTCATTTTTGCAGTTCCTCCTAACATTGCGGGGGAGAGCAAGCCTCAAAACCTCACCGTGCTGCAGAACAGGCAGGTGACTCTGGAGTGTAAATCTGATGCAGTGCCACCTCCTACACTCTCCTGGCTCAAAGACGGACACCCAGTGCAGGTGAGCACAGTGGGCTTCTTGGAGCTGCAGTCTTGAGAAGACTTTACCTGGAGGAGATTCACAGGGTGCACTGTGAGCATTTCCAGTGTTAATGTTAATAATGAAGAGCACTTGATTAATAATCTGAGAATCCTGATCTGAGAAGAACGCAAAAGCTATTTTTTGGGGGGCACGAAGGGTCTGCAAATAGCATAGCCTATATTTACACTATGGGGATGAAGTGGTATCTAATTCATCAAGGTGTTGATGACTGTTTCCTGCAATATAAAATGTATTCCCTTAAAGGAATGGTCTGCATTTGAACAAAGAAGACTATAAGGGGAACTGATCCAGGTATTCAGAATACTCAAGGCATTGACAAAGTCTACCCATTTTACATTTTAAGGATGAATTGGGAAACAAGAACCAGAGTACACAAGTGGACGTATGTGCACGTACATTTAAAACAGAGAGCAGAAGGAACATCTTTACACAAAAGGATTATGGGAATACAGAACAAGCTAATAATGCATGTTTAGTCCAATATCGTTAATTCAAGAAACTGGATGAGATACCTGGATCAGTTTCCTAATACCAAATAGACCAGATAGGCCCAACTGCCTCCTCTCGTACATAACCTTTCTTAACCATATTTTCTTCTGTATTGATGAAACAACTTATACTAAGAAAAAACACAAGATATAAAATTCTGCATTTTGGTGACCAGGATTTCTCCAGACATTTCAAGGCCATTTCTGTATACTTTAGTTCTCAATAAAAAGTTCAGTGTCTGACAAAGGATTTTATGTTCTGTTCCACAGGCAACTCCACGTATTCGTATCCTGTCCAGTGGGCGTTACCTCCAGATCAACAATGCAGAACTTGGGGATGAGGCCCAGTACACCTGTACTGCTAGTAACATTGCTGGAAACACCACCAGAGAGTTCAACTTAGTTGTCAATGGTATGAAGTATAGGAAAAAGTCGAAGTAAAAAATTATCTGGATTTGCTAGTTCTTGAACATGTTCCCACCATTTAACACCTAGAATCTTTCTACAATAAACTTATATGCATTGGGGCAGTCTGGAGTAAAATCTGATCAGACAGTTCCATGTTGGACTATGATGTTTTATTTTGTCTAATGTACAGAATGCAGACTGTTTTTTGGCTAGAACACTAAATCAGATTTTGTCTGGAAATCCTGGTTCTCTCAGTGGCCCCGACGATCCAGGAGGGTCCGAACACAGTGGCAGTGCACATCGACAAGTCCGCTGTCCTGGAGTGCGTTGTGCATGGGGTGCCCCAGCCACGTGTCACCTGGAGAAAAGACGGAGTTGTGCTAGCAGGCAACAGTCCTCGGTAAGTGCTGTTGCTGAAGGAACAAAGTAAGAATCACCAGCTTAATGTGTCTTAGACTACTTTCTTGGAAACACAACCGATCTCACAAAAACATGTTATAAGTATTATATTATTTACAGCAGCATGTACAGTATGTGTAGTCATTGCTGCTCCACATTGGTTGGCTTCTGCTTATAAGAACACAATATGTTTTGAATACAAACTACAATTTAGGGGCCCTCCAGAAGGGCCAGCATCCACCCAGTCTTGTTCGTGGTCCTTAAGTCAACCCTTTTTAGGCTGGGTATGCCTTTGTGCTTTAATTAATTTCGTAAACTTGGTTGGTTGCTTGGTTAAGTTAGTTCTAGATTGGCCTTTGTGAGGTATGGCGAGGTTCATGATGTTCATTTCAGATTATCTCTATTCTCTGTATTGAACAAATGAACCATTTCTCTGGTAAACACCTTTGTTCCCAAATGTTTAGAAATGTATTATCTAAGACTTTTTTTAGGACTCATAAAGCCTGCCGGGTTTGTGTCTCTCCAGAACCCGGCTGGTCATCCCTCCTATGAGTGGAAATTGGTTATGTTACAGAAGGTCGATCACATGTGTTGATTTTATTGTTTGTTCGTGCAGATACTCCTTTGCCAAAGATGGGTCTTTGCACATCCACTCTGCTCAGGTGACAGACACAGGCCGTTACCTGTGTATGGCCACAAACCAGGCAGGAACCCAGCGCAAACGGATTGACCTGCAAGTTTATGGTGAGAGGATAACAAGGATTAACCACCTTTGGTAGCCATGATTGGCACTTTGAATAAATCTCTCTTTGATTTTAGTGCAGGCAAACATCATTCAAGCCCTATTCTGGCGAAACTTACTGTAAATGCAATGATTACTCTATTAGTCATTCTTCTTAGGAGTTGTGAATTAGCAGCTATACTATAACCTGATTTAATCAGATCTCAGAAGTTCAGTAAGGCTGGGACTGGGACATCTCCAAGAAATTCCAGTCTGCCGTTGTGTGGCGGTACTGGTGAAGCTGTAGTTGAAGCTCTTCACTCTGGACTCGAATCACCAGACCAATGCCCCAGTATGGTCATCAGGAATACTGTTCTGTAACAGCACATCGTTTAACTAAAATGTTACGCAGAGGTCCTGGCTACTTTGTCAATAATATTACACTATGCATACAAGTAGAAATGTTAATCCCAGTGTCCTGGCTTTGAGACTGCTCAACATGGCCTACATTTAAATATAATAAATATTTAAATGCTATTAATTGTTATTATTAATTGTCATTCTTGTCTTGCAGTGCCTCCTTCCATTGCCCTGGGTCCTACAAACATTACTGTCACAGTTAACGTTCAGACCACCCTGTCCTGTGAGGTCACTGGCATTCCCAAACCCACAGTGACCTGGAAGAAGAGTGGACATCCTCTGAACACTGACCAGAACCAGAACATGTACAGGTTATTCAAGGTTTTTCTCTGCTTCATAACAATTCAATAGCTTTTTCAAGGTTACAAAGCTTCCATGCTCATTTAATTTTGGTACACATAAACTAAAGTTTCTGCCTTTCCTTTATACATCACATTCTAACACTTTTAATATCAATCAATCATATTACATGCTTGTATCTTCCTAATTTGTTGTCATCTATTGCTCTTGTGTGTAGGGGCTACAACATGGTATTTGTTTTTAGTGTTGATCTGAGCTGTATTAACTGTTACCTTCTGGTATTCTGGTAGGCTGCTGTCTTCAGGATCCCTGGTTGTGATCGCTCCCACTGTGGATGACACTGCTACCTATGAGTGCGCTGTCTCCAATGAGGCAGGAGAGGCTCAAAGGACCATAGAGCTGACTGTACAGGGTGAGTATGGGAATTGATCGCATTTTCATTTTAGGTACTGTCCAATTAAGGTGCTGCCAAGTGGCAAGTGTTTAAAACTTTGATATAAGCACAAGATGCAGCATGCTTCACAGATTTATCTATCTCTAAGATTAGTCTATAAAAACCTGAGTCAAGCAGAAATCAATCATATTATAATCTTTAATGGTTGTGCAAGAATTGGTATTCACTTGTACTCGATTATTGTGTTTTTGAAGCATGATGTTCTTTAGATAATGCAGTATGTTTTTTGGCAGTCCCTCCCTCCATCGCAGACGAGGCCACAGAGCTAGTGGTGATTCGCCTATCCCCGGTGGTGATCAGCTGTACTGCGTCTGGAGTGCCAGAGCCCAGCATTCACTGGAGCAAAGATGGAGTCAAGCTGCCCAGCAAGGCAGAGGGATTCCGTATCCTCCCCTCAGGTAAAAGCTGTTCTCACCTGTCTTTTTTTGTGTTAACCAAGCATCTACAGACAGGCCCAACCAAGATTTTTCTAGTGTTTTTAGTCTTTAGTTTTTAATAACATCTATGCTGTCACTCCTTTCAGTATAGTATGGGTTTTGTCAACTATATGCAAGCTGAAGCCACTATTTGGATTCGTTTTGACATCAAAATGCAGGCTGAAGTCTTTTGTGGAGAAATCCTTATTTATGTAGTTGATCCTAGAAAAACAGCTAAAAACCACCTGTACAGGAAATCGACCTCTTGCAGTGGCAAAGAAATGTTGAAATGTTTTGCGTGTTTGAATGTTCTTGCTTCACTGTTCACCCCTTTAAAACAGAGCCTTTCTTTCCAGGCCCAGTTGAGATCGCTGCGGCTCAGCTGAGCCACACTGGTAGATACACCTGCACAGCGAGGAACACAGCTGGCTCAGCACACAGACATGTGCAGCTGGCTGTCCAGGGTCTGTATCATTACAAAGTGATGGTTTTGTACTAATTTGCAGTATATCCTATGTAGTGTATACCATCTGGCTTTAGTTGGTCTATTTTTTCTTGATTTGCCGTGCATTCAAATTTTTTCTTATTATTTTAGCTTAAAATAAATCACTGTGAAGAAGGGGATTTAAGATTTGATTTGAAATTGAAGAAGCAATGTGGAAAGAGATGTGAAAAACAAATCCCATGTGATGTTCATTTGTTCACTCCCTCCAGAACCTCCCATGATTCAAGTTCACTCCGACACCCAGGAGGTTATCCTAAATAACCCTGTCACCCTGCCCTGTGAGGCCACTGGCACACCACGGCCCACCATCTCTTGGCAGAAAGAGGGCATCAGCATCCTCACCACAGGTCAGCTCTACGACTATGAGTAAACATGAAAAAAAAAGACCGTTATTCTTACACAATTCTTACACAATGTGTAAACTTTGTCCCAAGCCAGCAAGAAGCAGACATTATTGATGTTTCCATTCCAGGTAGTGGCTTTACTGTTCTGCCAAATGGTGGTCTTCAGATAGCTCAGGCCAGAGTGGAGGATTCTGGGACCTACATGTGTGTAGCACAGAACCCAGCTGGAACTGCCCTGGGCAAAACCAAACTAAAAGTACAAGGTACAGTATATGGAATTACTTTTTTATTAACCAAAGTACGAGACTTTTTAGACACTAATTTTGTAGCTGCTTCATACAGGTTAGTTATTCTGCTTTAGACTATTTTTCTGTTATCGTATTTCAGTATTTTTGGTCTAGGAATAAGTTACTGCTATTTATTACTCGGTCAACTATAGCATTTCATGTCATGTAGTTTTATCTTTTTAATATAGTGATCATGGTTCTCTGTACTATAAAAGAATCCTATGAGGCTACCTAACAACCTTCTGTATTTCTGCAGTCCCACCTGTCATTACGTCTCAGACGAAAGGGTACATTGTCGCACTGGACGCATCTGTCACACTACTGTGCCAAACAGAGGGCTATCCCACTCCTGAGGTCACATGGTACAAAGACGGGAATCAGTTGACAGAGTCAGTTCGCCAGAGAATTCTCAGCTCGGGGTCCCTGCAGATCGCTTTCGCCAAGCCCAGTGACACAGGCCGGTACACCTGTACTGCTGCCAACCTGGCAGGGTCCACCAGCCTAGAGATGAGCCTCACTGTCCAAAGTAAGCGCACCTCTACATGAATTCTGGCCTCGGCTGCTTTTTCTAGGCTTATACTGTACGTATTACCACTGGGGCTCATTGACTGCCATTTTATTTTCTAGTTCCACCAACAATCCGTAGCAGTGAGACTGAATCCTCTGTGGTGGAGAACTCCCAGGCTTTGCTGTTGTGCGTGGCTGATGGGGTTCCTCAGCCTGTCATCTCCTGGGAGAAGGAAGGCACAGGCCTGTCAGACACAAGTGGCAGATATACTGTTCTACCATCTGGGGAGCTCATTATACATAATGCTGAAGTAAGTCACTGTAAAGGGTAACCTTTTTGGCTTTTTTCATCGTGGTGGACTGCTGATCATTTATGAATTACTCTGTAGTGGTCATGAAAGATAATTTGGCGCAGGAAAAGACATCAGGGTGTATACTTTGTCTCATTGCTTTACCTGTTGTCTCCTGGCAGGCAGCTGATTCTGGTAGTTTTACCTGTGTCGCGAACAACGCTGTTGGGCAAGATAGCAAAACAGTGAGCCTTATAGTCCAAACACATCCTGCTTTTACTGAGTTGCTGGGGGATGTGTCTCTGAATAAGGGTGAGCGCCTCGTGCTGACTTGTGCAGTCATTGGAGTGCCTGCTCCCAGGGTTTCATGGGCTTTCAACAACAACATTATACCAGGTAATGTCCTACTGACTCCTTGAAACTGTAACTGTCCTTTATGTGCTGTAATATTGCTCTTTTTAAAGAGGATGAACAGGTTACACATTGAGAGGTAATTAAATTAAATAATTAAATTAATTAATGTTAAAAACAAATTAGGAGCAAATTCAGTCTAGAAGTCTTGATTTTCACCATTTTGTGTCAAGGAAGTATCAATAACAAATTAATAGTTATGCTCAATCATCAACAAAAATGTGTTTAAAAAATTGTTGTTTCTGATTAGCATCGAAGCCATGCTTTTAAGAAGACGGTTTTTGGTGACTTCTGTTTTTCTCAAATGGAACAGTACTCAGTTCTGTCTTGTGTCTACTGTATGTATAATCTATCATACTTCTGCACAGCGCACTATGACCATGCAAATGGACGCAGTGAACTAATCATTGAGAGAGCGAGCAAAGATGATTCTGGCACATATTCGTGCATTGCTGAGAACGGTGTGGGGTCCATCAAGTCCCTGGGCTTTGTGTACGTGAAAGGTTAGTTGAACATTTGCTTATTATGTCACAAGCTTGTGTTTTGGCTAAAGTGTCTGAATACACGCACTCCTGATGCCCTCTACAGAGCCTCCGATCATCGATGGAGATTATCATTCAAACCGGATCGAGCCACTAGGGGGGAACGCAATCTTGAACTGTGAAGTGCGGGGAGACCCTTTGCCCACCATCCAGTGGAGCAAGAAAGGCATCAACGTTCAGATCAGCAATCGCATCCGCCAACTGGACAATGGCTCCCTGGCGATCTACGGGACTGTGGTATAGCACACGTAGAACAGAACAACTGTTGAACTCTGGTGCTTCTCTGTTAGCTCTGATCTGTATGCTGATATACAGTAATGCTTTACATTGATTCTGCGATGATTGATAAATGGGTTTTGAATTCGTTTTTATGCGAACTTGTATAAGTGCAGATTTAAAACTAGTACAGATGTTTCCAAGATGTGTATGCCCTTTCAGAGTTCTGTTACAGTGATGGTGGACTGAGTTTAACTGAGCATGGGATTGCCTTTGTATTTCCAGAGTGAAGATGCTGGCAACTACATGTGTGTTGCAACCAATGATGCCGGAATGGTAGAACGCAGTGTCACTCTAACTCTGCAAAGTAAGGTTTTTCTTATATAAATAAAGCTGTATAAACCTGGTAACAACTAAAGGTTTAGTCAATGCTGGAAAGAGAAGAAAGGAAACACAGTGTTTCGGCTGTGGAGCCTTCTTCAGGTGTGAGAAAGAGAGGGAAGTCAGCAGCTGATATAGCATAGGAGAACAAAAAACGGGAGTGTAGAGGAGGCTGGAGCAGGAGGGAGGCAGAGTGGCCACTCAGGTGGTGC